CTGAGGGTTCGTAGGTCTTTGCGCAGGAGAACTGGGAAGGACAAACTCCTTCATCAACAACTACCGTCCCGATGCAGGTGTCATAAAGTCTTCGACTACAAGTACGCTCCGAAGGCCACCGAGAAGGTCGATGCGCAGGACGAGGCATAGTTACATCAATGCTACTGTCACTCAACTGTTCTACACTACCAACATCATACACGATTTCTACTACAGGTGCATATACTCTCTCCTGTAGCTCCTTCCTTCTAACTCGCTTCTTCAGGTACGGATTTGATGAGTGTGTCTGGCAACTTCCAGCAGCACAACTTCGGTCGTGGAGGCGAGGAGAACGATGCTGTTATTGCCCAATGCTCAGGACGGTTCCGATATATATAACGCAATTTCATGACCCCGCCTGACGGCCGTAACGGACGCATGAGGATGTACTTGTGGAACACTGCTTTGCCCTACAGGGATGGTGATATGGAAGCAGGCATCGTCATCCATGAATTGAGTCATGGTTTGAGCACCCGATTGACTGGTGGACCTGCGAGCTCATCGTGCTTGGGCTGGGGTGAGAGTGGTGGTATGGGTGGGCTGGGGGGTAAGCAATGCTGTCGTCATCGTCATCCTGCCATCGTTAATCATGGCATACAGACTTTTTGGCTACTACCATCCGAAGCACAGCAACTACTCTGACTTCCCTATGGGTGCATGGGCTGCTAACCGCGCACAGGGTATCAGAAACTACCCCTACTCTCTCGTACGTTGATTTACAGTACTTTCTCCTCGTCATTCCAACATACTTTCGTAGAACGATACCATCAACCCATCGACCTACCAGACTCTGGACAAGCCCGGCTACTGGGGCGTCCACGCCATTGGTGAAGTCTGGGCTCAGATACTCTGGGTCGTCGAGCAGCGTCTCATTGCCGTACATGGCTTCAGCGATGACTTGTTCCCCCTGCACCCTTGGCTGACGGTACTGTCCCCGAGGGCGAGTTCTACCGACCCCGTGTTGGCAAGAAACCTTTGGTGCCCAAGCATGGTAACACATTGATCGTCCAGTATGTCTCCCCTTTCCTCACTCTCTTCGTGGGTCTTATCTACTTCTGCGATTAGGCTCGTTATCAACGGAATGAAACTTCAACCCTGCCGACCGGGCTTCTTCGAGGCTCGTGATGCGATCATTCAAGCTGATGAGCAGCTCACTGGGGGAGAGAACTTCTGTACGCTGTGGAATGCCTTCGCGGAGCGCGGGCTTGGCGTGGATTCGAGGGTTGACGGTAAGACTCCTTGGGGTGGAGGAATTAGAACGAATGTGAGTTGGTTTCTGTTTTCGTGAGGGATGTTACTGATGGAATTATAGGGTTATGCCGTTCCCACTGCTTGCCAGTGAGCGTTAATGAACATTCTAGATAGTCTCTATATCTACTACACATCTATACACCCCATGTACAATTAGTTATGACTACTGTTTTGGTTTCAATGCATGTGCGATCTCGACCGAAGTCGGTATACTGGAGGTGCGTTATCGACCTTATGCGCTTACGGACTACTGTCACGGAATTTTGAGCCTGAAATCGGGGGTGGAATGTGTTTCTATGCGCATTGCGCAGATTCCTTTCGATAGAAATACTTTAAACTTGGAACTCTGATTTCCCATGCTATATCACGTGAAGTGACATCATGGAGTCAATTCAACCGTTCGAATCTCTGAATTTTTTTGCCTGTTACTGCTGTTGTATCATGGGTTGAACGTATGTCATGATATCCGTGGAGCATCGTTTCCACTTTGTGATAGACGCCTTAAGCTGGACCTGCGGAACACTGCCTTATTCCCAATGTCTTTTCTAGCGCGGATTGTGGCATGTCAAGTTCCTGCTAACCATCCCTTGCTTACCCTCCTTCTAGTGACAAAGACCTTTAAACTGTCCTTCTCGCTATCTCGAGCTTCTGGGAATGTCGGTTACGGTTCCACATTACTGTCCCGGTTTTTGCGGAAATTTTGGTTATACAACGCGTATGTGCCACGGTCTACCTTTTTAAGGCCTTTATAACAGCAATGCATCCAGGCGCGTGCATGAATACGATGTGTATGCTAACAAACTCTCGGAAGTACGCCCCGACGTCGTCAAGCCCGACATATCAGTTTTCCAAGACCTGATACGAGGGGAACTGTGGCCAGGCACCCAGCGGGCGTTGTCCGAGGCAGAAACGTCTTTTGGGAAGCTGCAGTATCGGGCCGAAGAAATTCTCAGTGACATCATCTATGCTGTTAATCTCCCGAAATTTCAACGTGATGGATGCAAATCCATCCCGATCGAATCCTCTTCGATTAACCTTCTTATCAAATACCTCGTCTTTCTTCGCTTCAGGAATAGCCCTAAGTATTCTGAAATCGTACATCGCCTTTTCTATGATTCCGACACAAAAGGAAGACTGGACTTCACTCTGTTCGGCCATCTGTTTTCCCAAATTCGGTGCATGGTCTTCCTCAAGTCCATTGCCAAATTTCTTCGTTCTGACTCAAACAAGAGGCCGACCACTTGGGACATTGAAGATCCGTTCAAGCAGGGTAGGAGTTGGCAGATGCCGAATGTACGTGCAGACGTCATCGAAGAAGCCATTAACTTGTACTGCTGGAATGTTGCCGATGGCTCGAACATCGTCGTCGGCGTCACATCCGATGAGAAAGTCGAGTTCCTGTTGTCAGATGGGTGTTATGGGACGCTGGATGAGAGCTTTGGACTGAAGGTCGGAGATGACAATGTGTAGGTCTCCTTCCAAGCCTCAGCAGTGTACCTTGCTCAACGATATTGCAGCGATGAACGCGATTTTTTCTTCCCTATCCTCCCCACCGTTGCTGTGTACATCCTCGGTACAATCACCAGATCCTCGCATCCGCGTCCCGCCGAAATTGTTCTTGACCACGAGTCCGAGATCGACGTTCACCTTCGGAACGCCATGACCCTCTCTGCCGTACCACGTATGAACCGGTCGTCATCTTCCCCGAAGCTATACTTTTCTTCCCTCCCCTCTATCACGCGTTCAATCTCATCGTACGACGAATTTCGATGCAGATGGATTCCTGAACTCTTCGTGGACTACAGTCGGCTGAAGCAGCGGTGCCGGCAAAAGTTCCTACAAGAGACTATTACGAAGATGCTTGTGATCAAGGGCGACATAGCTGTCACTGATCTAACGGATGACGTGACACTGATAGGTAGAGCATGCAGTGGTGGTGCGTTCAGTGATGTATGGAAGGGGAAGTGGTGGGACCAAGTAGAAGGGAAAGAACGTGCCGTCGCGGTCAAGCTTTTACGATTTTGATTGGAATGAGAAGGAGAAGCTGTTTAAGAGGTTGCATGCAGAAGTGTTGACTTGGCATTATTTATGCCATAGGAACGTGTCGCAACTGTACGGGATTATGCAGAGTGAGACCAGTGTTGGAATGGTTTCGGCGTGGTGCGAGCATGGGACCATCAGACACTACTTGAAGAGCGTCAATCCGAAGGCGGATCGAATGAAACTGGTAATTTTTGCCTTCCTCTCGCAGGCGTTTGCTGACACCAAGATATAGATGCATCAGATCGCATCTGGTGTCGCTTATCTTCACGATTTCAGGCCTACCATTATCCATGGTGACCTCAAAGGGGCAAGTATCTTATTCGTCATTTTGTTAATTTTTTTTCCAAGTCTTATTTCGCCGATCACAGAGCAATATCTTAATTGACCACCAAGGCTATGCGATCATCTCCGACTTCGGTTTGAGCAAGGTCATGTCAACTTCTTCGTTCTTCTTCGTTCGCGGGGTCGATGCGGTGGATGGCGCCGGAGATTGTTCGGGCACTCGTTGAAGTTGGGTCAGAGGCTACCATGCCGCAGGTTACGACTGCGAGTGATGTATATGCTTTTGGCTCGGTCTGTCTGGAGGTTCGTTCCAAACTCCGATTGCCTACGAATCACTGATTGTGTTCTTACCCGTTTTGTAGGTCGTGACCGGTGCCTGCCTTATGCATATCGAAAACATGATCCCGGAGTGATGTTTGATATAATGGCAGGGTAAAGCCGTCAAGAGGCTCGAATATGCCTGATTGCAAAGCTTTGAGGATGCTGTTGAATAGGTGTTGGAACGAGGCGCCCGCTAAGGCCCAAGATGGGGGATGTGCTACAATGTCTAACGATATTGAATGCTGAAGCAGGTCTGTGAGATGTTTTTATATGTAAAATTAAAGATCCTTTGTATTGTAGCTGCATGTTTTACCGCTTGTTGTCATTCTGAAGTAAAGGATAGATAGCTCGGCTATGACAAATTTCTAGTCCAGTGGAATGTATTTTTACTTTTTTGAACTGGTCGGACGATTCCAGGAAGAAACTGATATAATTTTGGGTGTCCTTTCGCGATGAAAATACTCTGTTATTTATCATATGAAAGACTTATGAATTGTTTCGTGGAGGGAAGTTGAAACTGACAAGGATTTCATAACGAAACGATGACATAGGCGAATCGAACAATTTTCTCTACGGATATACATAAGGAGCAAGTTCAAGGGAAATGGCTACTTCGAAGTATCGAACGACAGTTAAACACGCAGCCTCTTCGGAAAGAATAAAAACTGGGCATACTAGTCAAATCACGAACCATTTCCTGCATGATCATCCATCCTTATGAGGCATTTCAACACCTCACCCATCTTAGGCCTCAACGCAGCTTCTTGTCTCCAACAAGCATCCAACAGCATACTAAACGCCTCGGAATCTGGCGTTGGCGCGCCCCTGGACGGCTTGATCCCTCTCATTATATCAATCATTACTCCAGGGTCATGCTTCCGACATGGGTAGGGCAGAGCACCAGTCATAATCTATGCAGCGCGCAACATACAAGTCTGTGACTCTGGCAAGTAGAATGGAAGATATAGAACGAACCTCTAGACAGACCGAGCCGAAAGCATAAACATCACTCGCAGTGGTCACCCGTGGCACCTTTGCCTCTGACTCGTCGTCGACAAGGGCCAGAATCATCTCCGGTGCCATCCATCGCATTGTCCCTGCGAAGAACGAAGAACACAATATCCCATCGGAAGTTGAGAAGTCTGACATGACCTTGCTCAGACCGAAATCCGTGATAATGGCATAGCCTTGATAATCAATCAAGATATTTCCCTGTCGTTGAGAAGAAGAGATATTGAAAGGGTAAAAGTCAAGGCAAGGAACCTACCCCTTTCAGGTCACCATGAACAATGGGGGGCTTGAAGTCATGAATAGGCTACGCCGGATGCGACTTGAATCATCTGCACTCAGCTGTTAACATAATTCCGCAGTGGGAAAAGTTGAAGAGAGTACCTACCAATTTCATCCGATTGGCCTTTGGATTGACGCTCTTCAGATAATGCTTGATAGTCCCGTGCTCGCACCACGCCGAAACCATTCCCACACTCATCTCGGTCTGCACGATCCCATACAACTGCGACACGTTCCTATGGCATAGATGATGCCAAGTCAGCACTTCTGCTTGCAGCCTCTTGTACAGTTTCTCCTTCACATTCTGTACCATCACCCGCCGGAAAAACTTGACCGCCACGGCCCTTGTCCTTCTTCTCCACTCGATCCACCACATCCCCTATCCATATGGCGCTGAAAGTACCACACGCTACCGGAAATCTCTTGCCTATCAATCGTCACAAAGTCGTCTGTGGCAGGATCAATTGGACAGCGAGCAAATCGACCCGTGACGACGAGCAATTTTTGTAACAGGCTCGTGCAGAACTTGTGCCGACATCGCTGCTCAGCCGACTGTAGTGTCCCGCAAGAGTTCAGGAATCCATCTGCTCGAAATTCGTCGTACGACGAGATCGAGCGCGTGATGGAGGAGAGGGAAGAAAAGTATAACTTTGGTGAAGATTGGTTCGTACGTGGTTGCAGCGGAGAGGATCATAGCATTCCGAAGGTGAACGTCTATCTCGGACTCGCGGTCAAGAACAATTTGGGCGGGACGCAAATGCGAGGATCTGGTGATTGTACCGAGGATGTACACAGCAACAGTGGGGAGGATAGGGAAGAAGAAATTGCACAGATCGCTGCCAGATCGTCGATGAGAAGGGTACACTAAACGTAAAGCACGAGCTGCACTTACACATTCTCTTCCCCCGTATCAAGTCCAAAGTTTTCATCCAGTGTGCCATAGCACGCGTCTGACAATAGAAATTCGGCGTTCTCATCAGCTGTGACACCAACGAAGATCTCCGACCCTTCAGCAACGTCCCAACAATAGATGTCAATAGCGTTTTCGATGACGTCTTGACTGATAGGTGTGTCATCGACTTCCCACGTAGTGAACTTCATATTCGAGTCGGAACCAAGAAAACTTTGCAAATGGATTGGAAGAAGGTTCTACATTGCACTTGGGTGAATAGATACCGGTACGGCGCGACATCCAGTTTATGGTCTGTTCTGGAGTTATATAGAATCCGATGGACAATTTCAGAGTACTGGGAACTATTCCTGAATCGCAGGAAGACGAGATATTTAATGAGAAGACAGGATTTCAAGGGATCGAGTGGAATAGACTGCCTTGAGCAGTCACCTTCGGGTTTAGGCAGGCGAATAGCACGGATGATTTCTGTGAGGATTTCTTCGGCTCGGCATTGCAGCTTGGCAAAACATGCCTCTGCATCTGCAAGCGCGCACTGGGTCTCGGAATATAGTAGTTCTTCCCGAATCAGGTCTTGAAACACGGACACATCAGAATCGAAGCCATCCAAATTTACCTCCGTGAGTTCGTTCGTATACACATCGTATCTGTGCACAGGCGCTGAGCAGCAAGAACGATGGTCACTGTCAAGAAGTCACTACGGTGAGTTGAGGAAGTCGAGCCATGACACGTGCACGTACGCGTTCAATGTCCAGAAGTTCCGCAGAAACTTGGGAAAGTAATGTGCAATTGTGACCGACATTCTGTAGTGATAGGTGCGTGAGTGGAACGGTAAACGCTGAATGAATACTTGCCAGGCTCTTCCCCACGCCAGAGGACATTCCCCGCGGTGTAATGGAGGCGGAAAAGAGGTGAAAAGTGACAGTGACGTAGATGTGCAGAAAGAGGATCATGGAAACCGGGCATTGGACATCGTACAGCTTTATATCAGGGCTGCACCTGTACGTACCCCATGGCCAAGGCACACGACCAGCGCCTATCAGAGAGTAGCAACTTCGTCTCCACCGACATCAGTTTGCATGTTGCGTTTTCCCCATGACGCAAATCCCCATGATAGTTGCCGCGAAACTGAATTGGAAGGCCGCTAGCGTGAGTTCTAGGTCCTGAAGTTGGGCCTCGCAGATGAACAGCCTATATCATAGCATAGCATTTCATCATTGCAGTTCTTCTGATACTTTTGAGGCTGTTGAGGATCGTGACCTGGGTAGACGTGACGTTGCTGGTCAGGGTGTACAATTACACGTCATCTACTCAGACGCCGCGTCGTCACTGGAATGGCTGTGTAGATAATGCTTATCAGCTTGCGAAGATTCGAAAACGACAGTAGGACATATCGGATTTACTTACTCTACGAATCAAACATCTTCTCATGAAATTGTGCATGTCCCAAGCTGACGCCTCGGGATAAGTTTCCACGACTGCTCATATGCCAGAGCTTCGCCCACAGAAACAGCAAAGATGTCCGCGACCCATGCATAGCCCATCTAATACATAAAAATATGAAAGAATTCAGTCGATATACTTCATCATCATATTCATCCTCGGCCTTGAGAGCAGTTGAGATACAAATGGTTCAGATTTGCAAAGGTATCTGGAAAGAGTCATTTAAAATCGTTAAATTCCAATTTGCGTAGTCTTCGTAGATCAAGTGGGTGAAAAGTCGAGTTGACAATATCGTCAGATTTCGTTGCGTAAGTAGGTGACGTAGTTCAAGAAATGTTTTGTCATGTGGCGATAGCTCCGCGGGGTCCGGACCGGAGTTCCCACTTTAGCAAGTTGTGGTCAAAGTGAAAAACAGACGTTGATAAGTAGAATTGTCGCAGCACATTATGACTCTTCCTTCCTGTTGTTCTTAGAATTTGTACATACTTATATGCGCCAGAACCAAACCGAAGCACGCGCGATCATGCATCCAATCTTGTCGGTGAATACTTGATCACCAGGTAATAAGATCTATCCGAGCGTATGGAGTCAATTCACACCGAAGATTCTGGTCCGGAAACTTTATTGTCCTTTATTGAAGACATATATTGGTACAAACGTTAGTCCCATGAGTGGTGCTTCATCGGCCCCTTAAAGCTAGTTACTTGGATAACTCGGGCGTCGCCTGCAACACAGATGACATCCAGGCTGCTGAATACCTCGATCCAGGAACATCACTTTCCTCCGAGAGTTTACGGATAGCAGCAACCTCATCTTGAATGAGCTTGACCTTAGCTGCTCCCAGGTTTTCTTCCAGATACTAAGGGCAAAGGTGAGCAGAAGACAATGCCAGGATATAACCGCACGAATACCTTGATCTTCTTCGTCCCAGGAATAACAAAAAAATCACCGCCTTGTGCAAGGATCCAAGCAAGAGTGACCTGACCAGGTGTCGCGTCATGCTTCGACGCAATCGCTTTCAAATGTTCGACAAGGCCAAGAATCTTGGGAAAGTTCTCCTTGGAATACCTGTGGAGACTTCATCATGATTGCGCTCATAAACAGGTGAACTCAAGGACGCACTTGGGAATAGATTTCCGGAAATCCCCTTCTTCAAAGTCATCGGGGGACTTGTATTGACCCGTGATGAGGCCCCTAGCCAATGGAGAATACGCGACGACGGTGATGCCTAGGCTCTCTGGCCGTTTGCAAAATCGCGAGCTTCGGGTCTTCAATGTAGAGAACGAGGGGAGAAAATTCGACCTGAATGGCAGAGATTGGATGGATAGCATGCGCTCTACGAAGGTCCTTGGCCGTACACTCCGACTAAGCCGAGATACTTCACCTTGCCCTCCCTGGTAGAGTATTTGAGCGTCAATACAAGTATAAAGCAATCGAAAAATCGTGAAGCGCACTTGACGAGCTCAGCCATCGCGGTAACGGTATGCTGAAACATAGTCAGATTGAGGTCATCGAGATGAAAAAAGAATAGACCAACTTCGATTGGTACGTTACGATCGGGTCTATTCAACGGTCGGTAAGGCACTACTGCAACTCCGCTCCAATAGATTTCTTACCTGTGCTGATAGTAAAGGTCGATGTAATCAACTCCAAAGCGCTCAAGGGATTTGACGCATTGCTGTTTAACGTACTCGGGATCGCCCAGACCTCCATTCGCGGTAATGCCAAACTTGTAAGTAAGGAAAATCTCATTTCGTTTACCCGTCCGCTTGAACCTAAATATAAGCGCGTTGGTCGCACAGTCCGTTTGCAAGTGCAAATGCTGACATACCATTTTCCAATGAGAAGTTCGGAGTCCCCGTAAATGTCGGCAGAGTCCCAGTGCCTGCAGCCTTTCTCATACGCGGCATCCAGAATCTGTACTGGGTGTCAACAAGCGCCCGTTTCTGTGAGAAGGGAACTGACCTTGAAACGCTCCTCGTCGGAGTCTACTTTCCCGTAAAAGTCACTGAGACCCATGGCGCCAAAGCCGATGGGATTGATCAAGGCGCCGCCAATCTTTCTGAGAGTTAGAGCCATGCCAGTGGCGGGCCGCGTAGTTAGTGAGACAGCCCTTGCGGCCTCTTCTCTTCTGTATATATCCTGACCTGCTACCGCATTACCAAGACATTCACACCGAAATTTAGCATCAGCCCAGTATTGGCTCAGCAAAATTATTTTCAAGCCAAGTTAAGGCTGGATTACTGGTACAGCGGGTACGGTAAATCGAGCCCGCTGACTTAGGACCCCCGATTATACCCACATAGGGCTCCAACCGTTTCCGTATGAAACAGTTTATACACTGTTTAAACCGTTTAGTTTACCGTTTAAGTTTAGGTCGAGAGGCATACGGTAAACAAACAGTAAACTAAACGGTAAATGGTTACCTAATCATCCAATTAGGCAGTGCATCAACTATCCACTTCGTTGACTTTGCGCAATGCTACAACCACCACTGACCAATATTATCTCATTCCCCAATTGTTCAAGGACAATGTCTGCCTCTCGACTAGTGTGTCATTGTGTATTTTCACAAGTATTTCTTCAATATAAAGGCCGTCTTCACCATGTCCAACTGCGCCCTCAGGCTTGCAAGAACCATGACACCCTCAGTCTCTTCGGTCTGCCCTTGTGCAGCAGTTTGCATGCCTTTGCAGTAACCTCCCTCCAGCCGCAGTGAAAGAGGCTTTATCCGATGATCCCATCTACCATGTCATGACCAATGTCTATAGAGAGGATGCGTTCTCGACATTCAATCTAGAATGCTGTAGATACACGTATTAATAAGAGAATTAACGCACATTTGCCGCTATTCTAAAGTGTCATGTGATCTACCCTGTACAACCATTTATACACTGTTTATAAATGGTTTCGCAACCATTTCCGTTTAGTTTGGACGTGAGCATAAACGAAAACTAAACGGTTGGAGCCCTATACCCACAGATTTGGGTCAAAGTATGAGGAAATTTTTGCATCATCGACGTCAAATTGCCTAAAACGCTCAAAACAAAAGTCCAAAACCGTGAGAATTTTTCGGACCCGGGTAACCCCGCCCGAACTTTGCGTTCCGATCTCTGTGGGCATAATCGGGGGTCCTGCTGACTGTTCGTGGACGTATTCCAGGGCGACAAATACCGTCGAAGACCGAGAAGCAAAAATCTGGGGTAATGGTGGTCGCCCGGCTCTCACAGTCGCATACATATGACCCAAGGACTGAATGGAGCAGGGTGGAAACGGAGTACAAAGTACGAAAGCGAGCTGTGGAGCCAATCACATCAGACTCAGAAGGATATGGCGGGGATGCGATCACGTGCGTGGGTCTCGTCATACTTCGGTTCTTCCTCCATAGCTGACTTACTAACCACGGGATCGACCAAGAATGGGCGATGTATATAGTGTTAGACTGGCCCCACGACCACTTGTCACCCACCCACCACCATCATGCCTTCTAAGCAAGTCTTCTCGACGCCCGACAACGCTGTCTACACCACCTCCAACGGCGCACCCGTCTCCGAGCCGTACGCTGCGCAGCGAGCAGGTATCAATGGCCCTCTGCTGCTCCAGGACTTCCACCATATCGACCTTCTCGCCCATTTCGATAGAGAACGTATTCCTGAGCGTGTTGTTCACGCCAAGGGCGCAGGTGCTCACGGATACTTTGAAGTCACCCACGACCTCTCGGACATCACGTCAAACAGTCTCTTGACGTCGCCAGGGAAGAAGGTGCGCGCGACGGTCCGCTTCAGTACCGTCGGCGGTGAGTCCGGTAGTGCCGACACTGCTCGTGACCCACGAGGCTTTGCTATGAAGCTTCGCACCGAGGAAGGCAATATGGACTGGGTATTCAATAACACGCCCGTTTTCTTTATTCGCGATCCCGCCAAGTTCCCGCACATCGTCCATACGCAGAAGAGAGACCCGCAGACGCATCTCAAGAATCCAGATATGTTCTGGGATTATCTTGGTCAGAACCCAGAGAGTATCCATCAAATGATGATTCTGTTCAGTGACCGTGGGACGCCTGATGGTTTCCATAACATGCACGGATACTCGGGCCATACCTTCAAATGGTTGAAGGAAGACGGCTCGTTTGTATACACGCAAGTTCACGTTCGCGCTGATGGCGGTTTCAAGGCGAGTTTAGCTTTTTCTACGACTGCGCACATATTCTGACTCTGGTTCCAGACTCTTGACGATGCAACCGCCGGCAAGTTGGCTGGGTCCAACCCTGACTATGGTATTCAAAGTCTGTTCGAAGCCATCGAATCTGGCAATTATCCGTCATGGACCGTATACGTCGTATGTCTAACCGATTGTTCATCAACTTTCCCTTCTCACTGATGGTATCAGCAAACGATGACGCCTGAGCAGGCTGAGAAGTTCCGTTACAATATTTTGGACCTCACCAAAGTTTGGCCACAAAAGGAATTTCCGCTTCGCCCATTCGGCAAGCTGGTCCTGAACGAAAATCCACAGAACTACTTTGCTGAGATCGAACAGGTATGTTAGCACATAGTATAATTATTCGTCTGCTCAAATTTTTACTAGGCCGCGTTTTCTCCGTCGCATCTTACTCCTTACATCGAACCTTCGGCAGATCCAGTTCTTCAGTCGCGTTTGTTTGCTTACCCCGACACTCACCGTCACCGACTCGGCACGAATTATCAGCAGTTACCTGTTAACGCGCCCATCGTACCCGTGGCCAACTTCCAACGGGATGGGCCACAGACTTTCGTCAGCCAAGGAGCAAGACCGGGCTACCAGAGTAGTATTAGCCCATTGAGTTACAAAGGTAGAAAGGCGACGCTTGATGGGCATGTGAGGGATCAAGAAAGGATTGCCAAGCATGAGAACTTTATTGGGTCGGCCTACAGGGACTTGCATGAGGTTACCGAACGTGAGTGCGAGACGCTTTTTGAGGTACCTCTTCTCACCACCTGCAGTGGACTTCGAGCAGCCCCGTGCTCTGTGGGCCAAGGTTTGGGACGACCAGCAACGCGAGGTGTATGTACAGAATGTCGCAGCTCATTTCGGTAACGTCAAGAATCCTGAGGTCAAGGCTAGACAACGTGAGTTTACCGAAATTCGTAGTTCTGTCTTGTCTCACATTGAAATCTAGTCTCTGTATGGGCGGCCGTTGACCAAGACTTGTCTGACCGCATTGCCAAGGCAATCGGCCATCCATCTGTCAAACCACTTGCCTGCAAGCCCGCACACGAGGCAGTTCAGTTTAAGGCAAACATTGGGTTCGCGGCTAAGCAGAGGTTGTAAATGAAAGCCAGGATAACTCTGTGCTCACTTATCTCGAAGGTAGTCATATGAATTGAAATGGTAGGAATTCTTACTTTCATATTATACAGTGTTAGTATCGAGTCGCAACATCATTAGACACCTCTAGAATTGCACCAGTGTGTCTGCAGGCTCGGTATGATAACCTTCCTCTCAGTCATTGCCAGTAGGTTGGTCCATGGCTCGGTCCACGATCTCGGTAGAATGATATATATGTCCTTTCCCTCATGCCGGTAGAACAGCTGACCAAATAACCGAAGGCAGCATCGTCTTCAGAGTGGTGAATTTTGCCATCTTTCATGTTCGGGCTACTGACAGTCCCACTCTTATGCTTATGCTTCTATGTGACTTCCTCCTCAAAACATCCTTCCACCACCAATAAAATCGTGGTAGACAACTAAGAGCTAAGTGTGGTAAACGAAGCACAGCCTGAAACACATTGAAAAGAAAAATAACAGTGACTGAAGCAGTAGCAACCTGAAGGAGTTAGGCAGGTTGTCATATCGAGACCCAGCGTGGTACTACACAATCGAACCACGTACAATTGAATGTACAAATCTTATGACTAAAAATATGGTACACCGCATGTTTCGCGACGTATCTTACCCAGTCAATCCAATGCTTCACGGGTCCCCGCTAGTAGTAATACACATGTTGAAATTTAGAAGACTCGCCAACCGTGTCTTCGTCATCGTCTGTTCGTCCGGCATGCAAAAAGATCTTCCGAAAGAACGATAAGCGGATGTACAAGATACATCGTAAGTTTCTCACCAATGCTACCGATGGGTAAAATTACTGTTCGCAGCAGCGAAAAAATTCTTGTCGAAGGAGACTGCAGCAATGATACTTTAGATATGCAAGAGAGAATTTTGTGCCAATTTTACTTGGGCCCTTCATTGACGCGACATGCCATCAATGGTTCCTTCCTTTTTGGGTTCATATAACGTCCGCACCTCAACCCGCTTATGAGACGAAGCAGACGCAGAACTTAGGTATTGTCCATCTTCCCATTCTCGAGATTCAGACCTATAGTGCCTCTTTACAGCCCCAATAGCATACACCACAAGCAGAAGTCTGGCGTTCAATGCAGCTTTGTTTAAATAAGTTCAATCCTTCTGTGCAATTAAGTACTTACCATCTATCAGTAGTCACGCTTCCTGACGATGTCAATGAGGACGACTGGCACGCTACCAGGGAGACGGTACGAAACGTCAAACTCAGCTACGACATCAATCAAGATACCTATACTGTTTGCTCATCTGATCTCCTAAGAGCAGTGCCAGTTGGAAGCATGCTGGAAACCGTAAGCAAGGAGCCATACTTTGATCCGTTATACCCTGGAGTTCCATGTACAGAGAAGACAGCCAACAGCGATTCAGAGTCCGAGGCATCTAGAGAACTAGCCCAAGAAAGTACCAGACTTCTGGCAGTCCATCCTGTCACATCGTACTGCAAAAAGTGAAGAGTGGAATAAATAAGTGCATTAGGGCATTACCTCAACTGTATAAGAAGTTCCGTAGGAGATATATAGAACAAACAGACCTAGTCCCTCGCCCCGCGCGTTGGTGTAGGTGGGATCACAAAGCCATTGCCACCTATCGAACTCCAACCGTCCTCCCCGCCTCTCTCATTGCTTCTTATGAGAGTAGCAATACTAGCCGTATGCCGATGGCCCTTCTTCCGGCCCACCTCGGCCGCCCCAGCACCCTTATTTATGATAAAAGGAGCCGCACTAGTAGGTGTAGCCCCGGGAAGCGGCGACCGATACGTGATGTCCATCTCCTCATCGTCTGAAGCGTGCTGAGCTCTCGCTAAGATCGAAATCTGCTGCTGCGTCTGCCATGACATCTCCCGCTGCCGTTCTACGCGGTGCCTCGAGATCATATATATCGTACTTGGACCTCTGTCCATAACTTGTAAGTTCCCCTGGGCCAGCGACTGCTCCCGGACCTTTAAGATTGTCAGGGAGGAACAGGTAGAAGGTGACAGTGGCGAGACAGGCGCCGACGACGACGACATCGATGAGATAGTGATGTGTCAGATACATGGTAGCCCAATACAGCACGCCGGCATAGAGCCAGGCGAAACGGGTGGTTTGGGGGAAGAAATGAGACACGACCAACGCCTCCATCGTTGCACCACCGGCATGTAGAGAGGGGAAGGCGCCAAAGATGACGGGCGCGTTGGAGAAGGATATGGTATACCCGCTACCATGGAACATGTGGTCTATGCGGATCAGCCCGCCTGGGGATCCCTTCATGCCATAGTTGGCCGGGGTCAGGCCGTAGATCAGTTCGTACCACGGCGCGGCACAAGGGAAGATGATCTGAATAATGACCCCGACGAGCATCATGTACCCGAATGCGCTTGACCAGAAGTGGAGGGCCTCCTTGGCTCTAAAAAACCATAGGAACGCCGCAACGAAGAAGGGAATGGAAAAGTGTCCGACGCCGTACGGCATCCATGCGATGATGTCAAGCACAGGATGAGTAAACCGTGTCAGGATGTCGGAAATATTCGCACCGAACAGAACCGACTCGAGAGTGGGAAGAAGGACAACAGAAATGTTGGGCCTCCACTCGTTTGGAATAAACGTTGACGCAAAGAAGGTAAGGATCCAGGTGAAGACCGGTATGGCGGGAAGGAAAAATTGGCAGGTGAGTGGTATCAAGAGCATGATAGCAAAGGCGATGGGTATGAGAAACTTGAGAATGAGGCTAGGAATGAATGATAACCAAAAGGCGGCCAGGATAGCATGGAAGATGTAGATGCTGTCCGAGAACGTGAATTCGTGTTTTTGAAGGCGAGCGAAGGTGTCCTTGGGCGACAGAGATTTGTCGAGGCGGCCCACGGCTGCCTTGAAGGCGTTCCATAGGGTGACGAAGGACTGGTTTACGGTGTCGCGGGCAGTCATTAGTCTGCTGTAGTCAGCAATAAGCGCTGGTACAAAGTTGGCTTACTACTCACTCTTGTATCCTCTAATACACCTCGACAAAATGCTCCTGGACTGTCGTCGTTAGCTAGAATACACAGAATACGTGCAAGGTGCACTCAGGGCAATGACAGCAGACGGCAACAGTGGGGGGTCAGGGTAAGAAAACGAACAATATCAGTCGTACCAGTTTGGGATGATATTGGACTAAAACAAATATGACGTAATTTGTCCCTAGAACCAACCCTGTTTGGGTATTCCTTCGTCGGTGTCTAATTGTCTGTTGTCTGCAACCACCATGTCCAAATCCGCCAGATTCCCTTGGGATTCCCTTAAAGCAGAGACGCTGCGCGCCATCTGTCGCGACATCGGTATAGGATTTGTTGGAAAGCGCGAAACCGTACTTTCCCATCTGCAACTTATCCACGAACTTGGCCGTAAGACTCGTCGCTTCCAGTCTTCGCCTGTCTTTTTCACCTCTGTTTGCAGTTGATAAAGCCCTAACAAAAATCAAGGATTCGCAAGTGACCGAACCGGCGTCAGCGCGCACTCGCAAGCGCAAGAGTGACGCAGCAGAAGTTGAACCAGAAAGCCCCCCCAAATCTCGCGCCAAACGTTCCCGTCCATCAGATGCAGAGCCTGCATCTACTCCTCGTCGTACACGCGCCAATACCGCTCTCGATGAGTCTCCTCGCCGCAGCAGCAGGAAGACTAAACCAACTGAGAAAATTTCGGCCAAAACTAAGGCGGTGAAGGCAAAACCTGCAGCAAGAACCCCCGCCAGAGCAAAGGCGACAAAGAAGAGGACTTCAGCTCCCAATAGCCGGTCATCTCAATTCGATGGCGTTGTCGTTCCCAGGATCAAACGAACAAGGCCTGGAGCCGTCAACGGGGCTGAGGCGGAACAGGCCCCGGAAGGGGGAGAGGAAGAGGGAGAAAGGGGATCCGGTTCCTCCCTTGTGAAGAAGCAGGAGGATGATGGTGAGGAGAGCAAGGCCTCTTCGAGCTACGGTAGCTCGAATAAAGGTTCGTAGTCCTATCTCGACTTGTACTGCTACTTATCATACTTCCACGCAGAAAACGAAGAGATCCCCATTGAAGAGGATAGTAAACAGGGTGACTATCATTGGTTTCCATTGCGAACGCACACTGATTTGGTGATACAGAGCCCGCTGCTCCAAGTTCAGGACTCGATGAAACCTCGGACGCTGATGCTGATGGATCTCCGGAACCCGTTGAAGGCCCCAACCCAGCAGAGGCAGAGGCTGTGGATGTCACTTCCGCAACGACATGATGATATCATCTTCTTGGACGCTCGCTTTGCTTAGACAAAATTACTGTATATTCTTCCCTGATTCCCATATTTGACCCGTCATTTACTTATCTCTTACACACGTGTAGGATTGTCGTCTGTTGTACATGCTATGAATTTTGGAGACGCCTGCGGTCGGTTTAGTTATCCAAAGAATATCCAATCGTAATACCCTCATTCTGCTTCTGCATTTCAATCAGCCGGTCAAGCATCGCCTTTCCTTTATCGGTCAGACCATCACGAAAACTATCCTCCTTCATCCACCTCAGCCCGTGTTGGAGAACGTTACGGGCACGCACAGAGCCGCCGCGGATGTCGCCCATAGAGGCGTGAAGCGTCACACGTTTAGCTTTGGCGCTATAGGTACCGAGATGGAGGATATTATTGTTGTAGAAGACGGCGTCTCCAGCTAGTACAGCGGTGAGTCTTCATTGCTTAGCAGTGACGAGAACTTACGTTTCAATATCACAGCGATAGCACCAGGCATGTCGAGTGGATTTTCAGGTGCATCCATCGTAGTAGAGTGCATTCTCTGTTCGGGAGTCCGTGGGACGCTATGCGAGCCCGGGACAACGTAAAGGCAAGCGTCTTCGTACAGTGCGCTTTCAGCGTGAACGGTGAGACAATTCGTCTTCGAGGACGACGAACGGGGCCTACGTGTTCCATTGAATCTAAGCAGCCGAACAACGATAAGCTGTCTGGTACAGAGCCTCAACGTCGTACCCCATGGTTCCAGAGCGCCAATGCCGTCTTTTCCTCTTCAAGGCTAGCGTCCCCCTTCACGTCATCCCTGTGCCATCTCAGCGCAAAGTCGTGGGAGACGGGATTTATCAACAAGTTGAATAGCTCTATCCCACGCGGCATCAGTACCATCAAAGCGCTATCTACCCCACTCACCCATCTGCAAGTCTTCCTCTTTACAATCTAGCAGTTCCTTCACCACGCTGGTCAGAGCATCGGATGTGTACCACTGCGCAAAGATAGGGTGGCCGAGCTCGGGGTGCATGAGCATCTGCACACCCCAGGAGTCGTCGTTATCTGCATCGTACGGTGGGAACTGCTTCCCAACTGTTCGGCGGAGCGTCCAACGCCCGCTGCGCGTACGTTCCACGACGTCTTCGCACGCCGCTTGCAGTAACGGGAGATCAGACGGCGAAATGAGATTGGGAACAATTACGAAGCCTTGAGAAGTGAATTGGTTCTTGAGGGCCGACATTATAGTGGTGGTAACTTACGGCATAATGGGATAGCATTCATCAACACCGTTTCCGGCGGACCGGTAAGTATTAATTTTGGGTTCTTAGTTACGGTCAGCTGACGATGATGAAGGTACTGCTGAAAGCCAGCTTACAGGTTTCTCCAGTTCTTCTGTGGCTGTTCCTAAGTGCGTAAGCTCAGCCTGAGAGTGTTTTAGCGACGTAGGGATGTCGTAGTGCTACATCTTGTATGCTTGCGTCCGGTGTGCCCGGGTGGTACCTCCCTGTGATGATGATGCAGACTGCATTCAATTCCGACGATAGCCGCTCGGAAAGTTCGTGTTTCCCCTCGTATTGGTGGTTCCGGTTTCGCACAGGTACAATGATATTCTGATTGATGTGGGGTCGAGGTTATATAAACGCGGTTGGATCATGTTTATCCTCTTCAAGTTGCCATGTCCACGTCAGATATCTGTCCCATTGGACTCGTTAGTATAAACATCTCGAAGGAGGTCGACGGGCTGTTTTATGGTGAGTGTTCTTCCAGTTCTAGACATTGGTGGTGGTGATGCCATTCTGCTTTCTCTTTAGGATTCATTCTTTCAACCACGTCAGTACAGGGGAACCCAGTTGCTTTCGGTTGGCTGACTCGAGATGTCACAGGCTTTGGGGTATAACTGATCATACAGGCCTGGAATTACCTTAACGCGAACGCAGATGGGTGGCTGATGCGTTCACTTGTGAGTCCTGCCTAATCTGCGAGCTACGAGCAAACTATCGAGCCTTTACAGGTGGCGTTTCTAGTGTGCGTGACTTCGTTAGAATCTTTGCTTCATTTTTCCTGAACCTCGTGGTAGAGCCATGGACGCTGCGGTGGCTAGTGTTAACATACAAATTTTCCATTACTATCTTGTGAGGGACTTACTTTTTAACATTCTTGTGCGCTTAACGCATGCTAATGGGGGCACTTTAGATTGACAATTTTGGGAATACGGATCAGATGCAGATTATCATTCAGTGAGCAGTGCTGGGTATAGTGTTCGTATAGCCATTTGACGATATTCTTGTCAGATCATTCAACGCAGAGTTAATGATGACCGCTGTGGTTGTTTTGATGTGGGTACTCTGCCCCCTTTACTACCACGGGATTTTGAGTGTTGTACTGTTGCAGCGTCGAACTCTTCTTTGTTGTTAGAATATACAAACGTGAGTCGTGATGGGTAGGCGGCCCGAGACGGGATTTACTCAGACGTGCTTCTAGTCAATTCTCAAAATTGGCTCGCTCCTGCTGTGATTGTGAGTTCCCTCGTAATATAATGCTTTCCCCTCATTAACGGCTTTCAGACTATTCTAGCGCTGGGAAGTTTCGGTGAGCATATGTCGACTTTTCCAGGTATTTTTGAACCTTCTACTACATCCAGGTTCGTGTACCGGTAAGCGCTTCGAACTTGCTTCGACGTGAGAACGATCTGATATCCCTATCTAGCCTATACTGTTGCGGAAATTCGAGACGTCAATATCATGGGACTTGTTAAAAAAGACAGAGTGGTAAGCCTAGTTACCTTGTACTTACATGAATCTTCTAATCGTCCTGCAGGCAGAGATCACAGCTTTCAACGGCTCAGCGGCCCTTGCAGATATCCTTATCACAATCGCCTTATCTTGGAATCTATCTCGGAGCCGGACAGGCATCCCTCGGTAAGTCTTGCGCAATCTTTAGGCGCGTAACTCACTTCGAAATGAACTTTCAGAACAAACAACGTAATCCAAAAAATGCTCACGTATATCATCAACCGGGGACTGCTGGTGACCGTTACGCAGACTCTGACTCTAATTATGTTTAGCGTGGAACAGACGAAATTGCACTGGTGCGTCACAGTTTTTTGTCTTAGTTGCTTGATAGTCACACCAAGCGTTAGGATGCCCACACACCTAAGTATTAACAAGGTATATGTTATCACGATGCGTGCGTCCTGTAGTTCGTTTGCTGCCTTTTCTTAGTTCAACTACGCATTCTATACAGTGGCCATGTGAGTTTCTTCGAACGGTACTTCCGTGATCGGAAAACACCAAATTTAACAAATTTTCGTTGTAGTTTAAACACTCGACCAGCCCTCCGCGAGCAGCTCAATAGCGCTGTGACACAGAGCCTTGCGTTCAACAGCACTAGCGCCTCCTCGCAAGGACAAGTCCCCGTCGTTCGTAGCCGAGTAGTTAACGACATGAGGGTCTCGAATCTGAGTTTGAGAGAGCGGACGATCGAGTTTTCGCAGGCTCATGATCAGTTGGTGCGTGGTTCAACTTGACTTGTGGGTGTAAATGGCTTGGTTCTGACGGATCATTAGCATGAGGGAAAACTTGAAGGTAAATTTCTACTTTATTGGATCATTGTGTTGTCACCGATTTATTGTTGCAGCTTCAGGATCCGAATTCGTGGCGACGACACTAGAAGAATCGTAGTATACTATTAAGCACTCGATGTGGTGACGGTAGCCTAAGAAATATGTGTCGAGCTGCCAGATTCAAGTAATTGATTCACCAAAAATCACAATTCCCGTCTCGCTTCAGTACTACCACATCCTGTCTTACCCATGGTATGACATTTTTTACTACTGCACTTTGCTCGAAATTCCCTAGAGAACCAGGGCAGCAATTGGCCAGATCGAGCTGAACTTCCTGGTCTTCGTATAAGTACCTATTGAGCGTGGGTGAACTCCGTCATTCCTCGGTCTAAAACGCAAAAGCAAGCATTGGTATGTGACCCCTCACAACCAGACAGAAACTCACGACAAACACTTTAAACGCCTCAAAGCACTGCATGACAATACGGCGGTTCTCAAGAGGTACCAAACCATCTACCATATACAGCGCTAGATTAGGGACCAGCGGAACGAACCTCTGCACAATCGTGGCCTGGGGTGGGTACGTCGCAGTTTCGATGCATCTAACAAGTTCTGCAGTGGTCGGGATACGATAGAAGATGGGAACAGCGCCGATCATCGTGATCCCGGGGAAGACTTTGGAAGCGAGTGGAGGTCGGCCAGAAAGAGCACGGCCTCGGTTATTTTGATAGAAGGCCGCAATTGCCTCTGCGATAAGCTGTGGTTCAGGATCATAACCCTTTTTGTCCCCCTGCACAAGCAGAAGAATGTCGGTGGATGTCGTCACACAAACGTCGGTCTGGGCGTTGACTGTCTGACCACACATGACGAACGAAAGATCTTTGCGTCGGCGTATGATACGATCTGGCTCGTCATACTCTAGCATGCCCAAGATGAATGCCACAAAGTCGTCAATCATAGACTCTTCTCCTCTGACGGCGTCCCTCAGATAATGGAAGAATAGCCGGTCATTTTTTGTCAAAGGGCCTTGCGGCACTTCAACGTTGTTGAGGATAGTGGAAGAGACATTAGACCGACTAGGAAGATCAGGAGTATTGAAGAAAGTCACAGTGTCGGCATCGTGGATTTGAATGTTGAAACCGACGAGTTCGCTATTTGTCCAACCATTGCCGGACTTGAGTGAGCGAATGGTGTGAGCCATGCAGTTAGTGATTTGGAACGTGACTGTTTTCCTTGAAATTTTCTGTAAGACGATGAAGTCGCTGAAGTGATCGGTAATTCCCATGTGCGGATTTAATTTATTATTTTCGTAAAATAAGTCTTTATGTACCGAAAAGGACATCTCAGTTCTCGCGCCTCCCTCATCTGGTTCTGCAGAAATGCTCCTCCATGACCCGCTGTGGGCCTTTGTAAATTACTATCAGGTGACCAGACCCCGTCCTATCCATGGTGCAACCGTTTTTATTGTCGCTCCTTGCTCGAAATCTCCTGGATAGCCTAGAGAACTAGGGGATTGGCCGAGCTGGGCTTCCTGTTCTTCGTATATCTCCTCACCTTACCCGCCGATGGCAGTCAACCATTTCCTAGTTTTATTTCCAGAACAGCCGACAAGCAACCGAGCCATCATCGGCAGAACAATCGACGTCTGAAAATGCAAGCTCATGGCGACACCGAGTGAACTTTTGCCTTATGCCCTTATGCTTCATTCTCAAGGCTACGTAGTCTAGGTCCTTGGTCTCTGACATAATTGGCCGTATGTATCTTGGACAAAGAGTCACCATTAGCTGTGTCGTTCGGCGGAGCATTGAACGCCCGCTCCGCTTACTCTCCACGACGCCGCTCGCAGTAAAGGGAAATCAGACGGCGAAACGGGATCCGAGACGGTTACAAAGCCTTGAGAGGTGAATAGAGGGTCGACATGATAGTGGGCGGTATGATGATGGTTACTTAAAAGTCGGTTATCATGGCATCATCTTACCCGGCAGACGGGTAAGCATCAGTCTTTAGATTCTTTGTCACGGTCAGCTGATGGTAGATGAAGCGTAAAGGACAGCATTGATTACTGAAAGCTAATGTTGGCTATGCATGTCAAGGGAGAACAAGGTAAGAGATTACTGCCTTGCTGTTGAGCTTGTCCCATGGTCATCGGTCTATCGAACAGCTCCAAGAAAGTGGAGTATTCTCGGGACATGTAGCTACAGACGGACTCCCCTATTGTCCTTGGTACATCCACGATCCAATCGTAGAAGTCAGCGGTAGAATATCGTCAACGCGGTTCCAATTTCACACCACCAAGATCGCGGGAACTAACGCAAGAACCGGCTCCGATACAACGGACTCTCACCTATACCGGCAGCCGTAATCTCAAGAAGCTTGGAAAATCCAGAGTGTGCCTCGGAGCTGGTAGACAATCGGCATTCAATAGCGACGGGGAATTCGTGTTCCATCTTGTATTAGTGGTTCCCGTCAAGCCGTAACATGCGCAGGTATTTTCTGATTGATGTGCGGTTGAGGGTATATAAACCGCGGTTGGATGTCCGTGTCTCCTTTGCTTTGCTCTTGTTGCATATGTCAACGTCAGACGCATGTCCCATTGGACACGTTAGTATAGACGTCTCTGGGGTGGCCGATGGGCTCTTTTATGGTGAGTACCCTTCCAGTCCACAGCATATCGGTAGTGGGGTGACACTGTTTTCTTTTAAGGATACGCTCTTTCAACTGCGTCAGTGCGGGAGAATCCGGTCCCTTCCGTTTACTGACTCGGGATATCACAGACTCTTTGGTATAACGATCGTACAGGCTTGGAATTACCTCAATGCGAATGCGGATGGATGGCTTATGCGTTCCCTTGTGAGTTCTGCCTGCCCAGCGAAACATGAGCATTTCATCGAATACTGATGGCGTTCAAAGGTGGCGTTTTTAGTGTACGTGACTTGGACCAAACCTTTGCTTTTTTTCTCGTGAACTTCATGATAGAGCCATGGACGCTGCTGTGACTGGTGTTAATACCCAGATTTTGCATCATTATCTTGTGAGGAACCTAATTTTCGACGTTCTTGTATAACATTGCTAACAGGGGCGCCCTAGGTTGATAATTTTGGGAATACGGATCAGATGCAGATTATTATTCAGTGAGTAGTGGATACACAGTTGTTCGTGTTCGCGTTTGATGACTCCTTATTAGTTCATTTGACGCAGAGATAATGATGACCGCTGTCGTTGTTTTGATGTGAGTGTTCTGGCCGCTGTGCTGACACAAGATGCTCAATGGTGCATTATTGCAGCGTTGAGCTGTTCTTTGTTGTTAGGATTTATAAACGTGAGTCGTGATAAGTGAGCGGCCCGAGACGAAGTTCGCTGAGATGTCTTTTTAGTAAATTCTCAAAATTGGCTCGTTCCTGCTGTGATTGTGAGTGGTCTTATATTGATGTATTGCTCCCCCCCCCCTCATTTAGGCCTCGCAGACTGTTTTGGCACTGGGAAGCTTTGGTGCGCATGTGTCCTATTTTTCCGGGCATTTTTAATCTCTTACTTCATCCAGGTTCTTGTACTGGTAAGTTCCACGAGAGCGCTTTTGACGTGAGAACATTCTGATTTCCCTGTCTAGCTTTCGTTGTCGCGCAAATTCAGGACGACAGTTTCATGGGACTTCAAAAGAACGACAGAGTGGTAAGTCTAGTTACTTAGTACATTCAAGTTCTAATCATTCCACAGGCAACGATCACAGCTTTCAACGGCTCAGCGGCCCTTGCAGATATCCTTATCACAATCGCCTTATCTTGGAATCTATCTCGGAGCCGGACAGGCATCCCTCGGTAAGTATTGCGGAATCTTTAGGCGTGTAACTCGCCCTGAAATGAACTTTCAGAACGAATAATGTAATTCAAAAAATGCTCACGTATATCATCAACCGGGGACTGCTGGTGACCGTCATACAGACTCTGACACTCATCATGTATAGCGTGGAACAGACGAATTTGCACTGGTGCGTCACCGTTTTTCGTCTTAGCTGCCTGATAGTCTTATTGAATGTCAGGATGCCCACACACCTGAGTATTAACAAGGTATATGTTATCACGATGTGTACGTCCTGTCGTTCGTTTGCTGTCTTTTCTCAGCTGAGCCTCGTATTCTATATAGTGGCCATGTGAGCTCTTCCAAATCGTACTTCTCGCAACACTATATTCAACGCTATTCATCGTAGCTTAAACACTCGACCGGCCCTCCGTGAACAGCTCAATAACACTGCAACCGCGAGTCTTGCGTTCAACAGTACTAGTACTCCCTCGCAGGGTCGATTCCCCGTCGTTCGTAGTCGGGCAGTCAACGATATGGAAATCTCGAATCTTGGTTGGAGAGAACGGGCGATTGAATTTTCGCAAGCTCATGACTCTGATGATCAGTTGGTGCGTGGTCCAGCTTGACTTGTGGGTGCGAGTGTTATGATGATCACTCTTTAGCATGATGGATCGTATGGAAAAGGTAGTTTTTAAATTCTGCGTTTGGGATTTTTGTGCTATCACTGATTGACCGTTGCAGCTGCAGGATCTGGATTTGTGACGACGTCGCTCAGAGATCCAGAAGGAACCGTAGCATTAGGCACTCGATTACACGCCGACTAATATATGTTGGTGTTGAGGGGGCAGGATTTTGTATCATTACCACCACCCATAGAGCTGCGAGCATCTTGTATTGGTATTCAAGCAAGAAATATATTTTTGCTATATTTTTCGTGAAAAAAATAATTCGAAAAATGGTTGTAGACGTCTCTTTATGTAACATCCATCCATCTTGATGGAATCTCTCGATGGGCATCCTTGACGTTTTGGACGTTGTTTCCCAGAATCTTGCCGCCATCGGAGGCCTTTCATTTGAAGCTTTCGAGGCCTTGCCCTACAAGCCACTACCAGATGTCCCCGATGCCTCTTACACGATTCTTCATTTCTCAACGGCGGATAAGCCTGCTGTGAATGAAGAACAGACACCAGCAAACGCGAATCGGACCCTCCACGAGACATGCCAGAAGGTTTTTGGGAGCACGGGGGCGCTCAAGTTTGAATATCTCAACGAAGAAACGGATGCCAGTGCGTAGCTATTTGCCTGTTTATATCGCCTCTGATCATCCCTGGTAGATAAACAGTGTATCCTCACGATAACACGTCCGAATGGCTCGATGAGAAGCTACCAGTCAGACACCACGTTTACTCGAAAGACGGAAGCGAAAGCGCAGGTGTGCGAGCGGGCTATCGAGCATGGCGCACTCAAATTTATCGCTGAAGGGGAGCCGAAGGTCTCTGGACATCTCGCTCTATTGGAGAATGGGAATAAGGCTGCTGAAGGGCTCCCTGAAAAGGACCCTGGAGTCAAAGCTATAGAAGACTGGTGCGAAGGGAGCAAACTCTTGGTCCAGTGGTATGATATTGTTGCCAAGGATGGAGAGCGTGAGTCAGTATAAGTGCTTCTTGTCGTATCGCTGATCTTGCCTTTCAGGCCATGCTGCTGCTCTCCGGATTCTTGCGACTTCACATTCATTTCGTGTATACTCCACCGCCGCGCTGTATAAGGACTTTACCGAAGCCAAGACTGCGTGCGCAGGAGTAGCGATTGCAGAAGGGGCTCTGAAATTCACTGGGGAAGCCTCATTACCCGCGGCTCCATCTGTTGGACGGACGACCCTTCAAGAATTCTACGATTTGCTTCCTCGTCCTCTTCCCGAGCCTTCACTGTCAAAGCAAAACGTGTCAGAAGTTCAAGCAGTCGGTTGGCTCAACCAGACCGTTCAGTCAACGCGCGGTAGTCAGCTACAAGCCGAATACCTGCCCTTCATGGAGAATAGTAGTAGGTTTCTTAATCCATTGTGTCTTTCCGTGTGCTTAGTTTATTGCTGCTAGTGTCAGGTTGTCTCCTCCGAATCGACCGTCCGAATCCTAAGGAATGCAAATCGTATATCGTTGATGCGCGCTTTCACAAACGAAGCGAGGCAAAAACGGCCGTAGCTTTATTGGCCATGTCCCAGGGTGTTGGGGAGTGGTTGAAGGAGGTGGCGAAAGAGGTCAACAGGATTACACAAGAGATGAAGAGAGTCAAGGATTCCTTTCTACCGAGATTGATAAAAGAGTGTCAGATCTCCAACGGCGAGCAGCCTACATTTGAGTGTAAGAATGAGCGGGATGGTGAGCTGGTTCTTTTCTCAAACACAGACCAGTCAATTTACTCGATATGTCACAGCATGGTCGTGTACACTAACAGTCAACTTGTCTCCGACTAAAGGCCAACAAGATCTTCGAGAGTTTTCGGTGCCTACGCAGTATCGTAATCAGTCCGATGCAAAGGTTGCGGTGTGCTGTAAGGCGGACAACGAAAAGATTATCGACCTCCTCCGATTCCGAAGAGAGCCCTCGCTTTCCCAATACTTGGAAGCGAAGAAACGGAAACAGCGAGATGATGAAGTCGAAGCTTCCAGTAAGCGGCAGAAGATGGCCCAGTTGCCGTCGAACAACGACAAGGCGAAGCAAATCGCTCATCTTCCAGCACGCCCTCACAGCCGTCTTCCGTATCCTCCTCCCAGTTATCCTCGATATATGGCCCCTCCTTCCCCGCCGTCGTCACGTCCACTTCAATTTACTCCATATATGCCGCTTCAGCGTCCATATCCGCCTCACCGCCGACCTTAGTTCGATCGAAACTGCTTGTGACTGAGGATTCTGTGAAGTGTGGCGCAGTTTGCAATACGTATCGCGAATACGTTTCGACTTTGTTGTCGGGATCTGTACCCGTCGCTTTGCTCTGGTGTGTACACCATGTTAGTGGGTACATCATGCATGTACAACTTGGATTGCCGATGTGGTGTTGAGCCTAGATGGTGCATCTATCAGCTGTACAGCCTGGCTCGGACGCTCAGATGCCCTGCAGCTCATTCATTGTTAATCAATTTGTTTCGGATCCGAGGCACATCTTATCTGAATGATGAATCTTTTGATCACGTACAGTCCTGTCAACAAGTAAATGTCGTCGCACTTCTAGATGTAGGAAACTTGACAGTCGAAATGAACTTCGAGGTTCTTTTGTACATACCCCGGTCCTTCGAAGTTATCGAGACCTCGAAGCGCTCCCGCAAATGGAAGCTTTCATTATTAACTGATCATTCTTGGCAAGTCTTACCTCATTTGCTTCCGTCACTTGCTGATGATTGAACTACATTTTGGCCAGAACCCGCACGCTAGCGAATGAGGAACGGCCCACTTTCGGCAAGTGGTGTTATATTTACGGGTTTATATTCTCACCAAAAGTGCGATATACGAATCTGAATCAGTCAATGTCGAAATCACGTCATTATGATGAGATGGGATGGTATATAACTCGCCCCTAGTCTGCGAACACGATATTCATTACCACTACCTCCTCAATGGCCGAACAAGCATCAAACTCTCCGTCTTGGCAGCATTGCCCCCGATTTTGAGGCAGAGACGACGCTAGGAAAAATCAGGTTCCACGAGTGGTTGGGCGACTCATGGGTATGTCTTAACTTGGTACCTTCTGTCGATACTGGGACTAACATGTCTGCAGGGCGTCCTGTTCTCCCACCCAGGAGATTTCACTCCTGTCTGCACGACTGAGCTCGGTGAAGTCGCTCGGCGGGCACCTGACTTTGCTAAGCGCAATGTCAAGGTTATCGGTATCTCTGCGAACGGTCTCGAGGAACACCACCAGTGGATTAAAGACATTGAAGAGTATGGTGGGAAAACGACGGGTCTTACACATGTTGAATACCCCATCGTGAGTATCGTATTGATTCGAAGCCAGTGTTTTTTGTACTGAAGCAACGTCGCTCAGATTGCCGACGCTGATCGCAAAATCTCCTACTTGTACGATATGCTGGATTATCAGGATGTCACCAACAGGGACGCAAAGGGATTGCCATTCACTGTACGTTGCCACTTGCATGTCCGACGCGTCTTCTGTGCTGACAACACATTGAATGGCAGATTCGTACAGTTTTCATCATCGACCCCAAAAAGGTCATCCGCCTGACCATCTCTTACCCCGCTGTCGCCGGACGCAACTTTGTACGTGTCCGTCGTTTATAAGTACTTGTATCTGATGTATCTTGTTCTTACTATTAGGACGAAATCATCCGTGTCATTGATGCCATCCAGCTGGGTGATAAGTATCGTATTGCCACCCCAGTTAACTGGAATAAGGGTGACGATGTTATCGTTCATGCTAGTGTCAGCAATGAGGAGGCGAAAACCTTGTTCCCTCAGCACAAGGTCCACTATGTGCGTACTTTGTCCGTTTGCAGAGTGACTGGTGATTTAACGTTCCGTTTTCGTAGCCTTACCTCCGGACGACTCCTTTGAAGGTAGATTAAATAAATGGCGGATGGGTTAACAATTTTTAAATTTCATGTGTAATAGTAAGGCTTGTACATGCAACTAAGAGATGATCGATTTTGGCGTTCCTGTTCTTTTTGCCTCCGAACTATCACTTTGCTGCCAAGGTATACCGTCAAGCACCCTGGGGTTCCGATCTTAATCCTGTATGTACTATCAACACTCAACATCGAGGAGAGAATGATATTGAAGACCTTTTCAATCGCCATTATAGCGCCATTAGGTGATCACTTATGAACATAAGGATTTTTTGTTTAAAGGCTTCTCCTGCACCCTGCGTTCCCACCATCGCCACTATCATCACGGCCCCGGGGCTGCTTGGCCTGGAAAGGGTCAGTGACTCTCAAGGACGTTCAGCACGGTTACTGCAGTACAGCCGAGGCCGAACATTATCTGCGTCCAGGCTGTCAGATGCCTGGGAGATGACTCCGAAATTCGGACGGTAGTGAACGTGCAGGCCGTATTGCACATGTTCAAACGAGCGTTATCATTACAAGACGCATCTGAAGTCGCACAAAACAGTTGGGTTTAGGGCTTCGCACCGTTACCGTATAGTACGGTTATACGGGTGCCGTCGTACGGGTACCGTACCCGTTCCGTCTGGCGAAATAATTTGCCCAGAGACGGACGGTATACGGACATCCCGTGTCCCGTTAGCAACCGTATAAACACGGCCGTCATACGGTAATCGACGGCCGTGCATGTATCTAAAAACAACCGTCATCAGATCACGCTGCACGCGTGTTTGCCATACACTTAACATTGTACCACGATGTGCTGGCACGCAAGCTCTTCAATGCTACCACCCGATCTTTTTTCACTCGCTCTACTCAAGCTCTAATCCTTACCAGCATAGAATACTTTCTATTTCCTGCTTCTGCTGCTTCTATTCTACTCCCGTTTCATCCTTTGACTACAAGCACATGTTGCGCAATAATTTGGCCTCCGCTGGTCTGTGCACCTTTCAAATACGGCTGAATTTAAGCCAGAGAAGTTCACGAAAGACTATCTACTATATAATGGGCCTGTCCTTTTTTTCGCAGACTTACGACCACATTCTGGGCATCATGACAGATCAGTGCGCCCTCGATGCCAACGGAAACTTGAAATCCTCCTCGAAAGTCAATGTTTATCACGATGCAGATGACGACGTGCCCATGGAAGGACCTGAAGCTGCTCCAAAGCCCGAAATATCAGGTATGTATTATTCAACGGCCGTATTGACGACCGGCACGGCCGTCTATATACCCGTACCATACCGTCAACCTAGTTCTAAGAGCCTTGACGGTACGGTATACGGACCAGCCGTCGCCCGTCACTGTACCGTGGCTATACGGCCGTATACCGTATACGGGACGGTGCGAAGCCCTAGTTGGGTTGTCAATCACATTAATATGGTATATTTTACCAAACTGCCTACATGCACATCTTACTGAATGTATCCTCTAACCAATCAAAAATGTCAACAAACTCCTGTAGGTTTGTTCTAACAACACAATAATCACCGAAGTGATGTATGATAGCCAGACCAACTTGCATGGTGGTCAGCACGGAGCGTTTGTGCGTTGGCGACCTGTGGGAAGGCGGGAGACCGGTAATGAAAGCGCCCCAGAAGGCTTCAGCTATGGGTATCGTGCGCTCGTTCGGCAAGTGTTTCCCGCCTGCTATCGGAACCGACAGGAAACGGATGCACCATGTGTTCATTGCAAGGGGAAGTAGATTCGCTTGTTCCCAGTCGATCAAACCACATACATGCTTGTCGTTATCCACAAGGATCTATGACAACGTGAGAAATACAGTGAATCACGAACTTGAAACGAGGACTGACGTTCCGATGATTCACGTCTATGTGACAGAGAGATAGCGGTAATGATTTCAGTCCAGCAACTCTTTCCGGGTTCAGCAGTCCCTCCAAGCGACGACGTGCTTCTGGAGTGTCAGAAAAGTCTTCTACTTCCAGTATTTTCTGCAAGCGAGGCACAACGTATCCATCGACAACAGCAGTACTGCTCACTCCCAAGGAACAACGCGTTAGAAGTTGAGCAATCTCCGCACAAATGCTCAGTTCCTCATCCGCCGAAGCATCAACTCTGTCCCAGATAGTGCCCGGAATGAGAGTAGCCACATAGGCGAAGGCAACACTTTGAGTTTTTCCAAATTGAATATCGGGTACGACAGGGCCCAGGAGACCGCGCGCAAGTGCAACTTTAGACAAATCGATTTCACAGTCTTGGAGTTGCACGATGACCTCGTCTTCGTTCTCGAAGGTGACCACTAGTGTCCTTTAGCTGCGGTGAGTGCGTGTAACACATAAGACTAAGAAAGGATCGTACAGACTGAAACAGCCTTGCTCATCATGGACACGCGCCGCCGTGACAGCTTGCGAGAAGCAGCTGGCCGCAGCGAGTTTTGCTTCTGCTATGGCTTTTGGTCGGGAAAGCTTGGCGACAAGGGTCGACTTTGTGATTGGCGTTGGATGAGCTGCAGCATTCTCGGGAGAAGGACATTGATATATGGTCTTCATTTCTTGAGATGTAGTTATGCCAGTAAAGGTGTCTTCTAGCCAAGTATACACCGAGACCATACGCTCAAGGTCGATTTGAGTTTCCGAGGATGCGTCAAATGTGCTAAGGACAAGTCCCGCTTGCATTGCAGTGATAAGCGCACGATAAGACAAGGGATCAGGGAAAGCTTCAGCTAGGGCTGTCCAAAAACCTTCGGCTACAGAAAGCGACTCATATGCCAGGACAGGAATGGCACAATAATCGTGTATATGCCATGCATTCATGCCCAAGGGCAACAGAAGGGCACCTTCCCAACTGACGATGGATGCAATTTTGGTCTCGTCACTCAGGATTATCTATGCGTATGCATCAGAAAGTAGGCAGAAGACGTATGTTAGAAAAATCACGTTTTTGGTGCTGAGATAGGAGTGGCAGAGTGAGAGCGGTAACAAAGTCAATTCACTTATTCTGGCCGATCCCAGAAGTGCAGTCACACACTTTCGTGCAACAGGTGTAGTTTCCAGGAGGGCCTCTTTCTGGAGAATTGTTTCCAAGCGAGGCTTGATGTAGTGGTCAACAACACCAGAAGAATTAATACCCAACGAGCATCTCGTGAGGATACGTGCGAGTTCAGCAGAGATCATCACGGTATCCTTATATGATACTTTCGAAGGTTCCATGGAGTTCCAGGAATGAATGGGCCTGACATATGCAAAATTTGCTTTCTGAACTCTGCCAGAATGAATCTCAGGAGCGATATCGCCAAGAATACTGTGAGTGATGAGTGAGAACCGCACGAGATAAATCGAGTTCGGTATCCTTCAGCTTGACTGATCGCCTCTGTGACAGTTTTCAAGGGTGACGATGAATGTCCTAGAAGGATCAGATTAAGGACAGCAACATCGCGAAGCTCCTATTGAACTAACCGACTGTGAACGCGTTGCTCCTCAACTAGGACAGCAGCAGAAACGGGCTGAGAGATGAAATACCGTGAAGCAATGTGCATTGCTTCATTCTTGCCTTGCGGTCCCGTACCGAGACGTGCAATTGAGGTCCCTGACATGGAAGACAATCTTTCGTATCGACAAGATCGAGTTGAAGTTAATCATGGACGATTCATATTGATACAGGACGAGTTCTCAAGCTAAACAGTTCCTCTATTAATGTGGCCTTATGGTCTAGTAGCATGATTCCTCGTTTGGGTCGAGGAGGTCCTGGGTTCAATTCCCAGTGAGGCCCTTTTTGGATCCGTATTTATGATTTAAATAAGTAATTAGATTAGATTTTGACATTTTATCCTAAAATAGCCAGGGCAGGTGCGCACTCCTCTCATCGACATCACTTATGATGTAGATTCAAAGACTGTTCGAGAAGTCGCTTTGTCATGCAGTTTTGTCAGCGTATAAAGAACAATACTAAGCAGGATATGTTCTTTTTTCGCAACCATCATTATGTCTTTACCTCCTAGAAAATCGGCTGACTGCTTTGATTAATCCCATCGGCTTTGGTGCCATGGGTCTTAGCAGCTTCTATGGTGCAGTAGACTCCGATGAGGAGCGTTTCAAGGCTAGTTCTCTTCTCGTAGAAACTGGACGCTTGTTAACAGCACAGTCCAGATTCTGGAATGCTGCATATGAGAAAGGTTGCAGGCACTGGGATTCTTCCAACGTTTACGGGGACTCTGAACTTCTCATTGGGAAATGGTATGTTTCCGCATTTACATAGGTAAGGTGGACTGTGTGACCGACACCCATATAATCAGGTTCAAGCTGGACTGGGCAAGCGAAACGAGATTTTCCTTACTTCCAAGTTCAGGTATCACCCCCAATGGAGGTCGGGGCGATCCTGAGTACTGTCAAAGAGCAATGTGCGAAATCCCTCGAGCGATTTGGAGTCGACTATATCGACCTGTACTATCAGCACCGGTAAGCGACTATCGAAACGGAGTTGGACTAATGCCTCTTACCGCTCAATAGACCCGATCGTAACGTACCGATTGAAGTTAGTTCATTCTTTCTGCTCGAGGTGACTTCAGTCTGACTATCTTTCAGCATACTGTTGCCAGCTATGGCTGAGCTTGTCAAGTGCAGTTCGCGGTTTGATAGCATTATACTCGTATCGGTGCTGAAATACTCTGCCAGGGAGGGCAAGGTGAAGTATCTCGGCTTATCAGAGTGCATAGCCAAGGACCTTCGTAGAGCACATGCCGTTCATCCCATCTCCACTATTTAATTCGAGTTTTCTCCCCTCGTTCTCGATATCGAAGACCCGAAATTCGCAATTTTGCAAACTGCCAGAGAGCTAGGTATCACCGTCGTCGCGTATTCTCTGTTGGCCAGGGGCCTTATCACTGGCCAATACAAATCTCCTGACGACTTTGAAGAAGGGGATTTCCGAAAGACTATCCCCAAGTGCGTCCTTGAGCTCGCCTGTTTCAAAGCGCAATAGTAATGAAGCTTCGATAGGTATTCCAAGGAGAACTTCCCCAAGATTCTCGACCTCGTTGAACATTTGAAGGTGATTGCGTCGAAGCATAACGCGACGCCTGGTCAGGTTACTCTTGCTTGGATCCTTGCACAAGGCGACGACTTTGTCGTTATTCCTGGTACAAAGAAGATCAAGGTATTTGTGCAATAACACGTCAATGTCTCACACTCACTCGCGCCCTAGTATCTGGAAGAGAACCTTGGAGCAGCTAAGGTTCAACTCAGCCAAGGGGAGATTGCTGCTATTCGTAAACTCGCCGAGGAAAGTGATATTCCTGGAGCAAGGTATGGAGCAACTGGAATGGCAGCAGTGATGCAGGCCACACCCGAGTTACCAAAGTAGCTCTACGACGACGAAGCACAAAGAGGTGACTTGTATTATTACATGTATCAATTGGATGGCAATCGAGTCTCAAGTTGTTCCCAAAGTACAAGATGGAAGACCTTGACTGAGAACATTCTCCTTGCGAGGGAAGAATTCTGCGGTCTGTGGCTGAAGCGCTCTGTAACGCACGAAACGTGGTAAAACCTTGAATATTCTGACTTCTTTTCCGACTTGAGCGAGGTCCTGAAGGTTTACGCGATCGCCCTAAGCATGTAGTGTGAAACCACCGAGACAGGCGTTAAAGGTGTCATAACATCCGGAGGATCTTATGAGTTGACGACAAGTTATCAAGCTCCTTACAGTCGCCCAGCATTGCATTCCGGCTTGACTACTTTGAACGCATGATACAGAACCTAACTCTGCCAACGCTCTCCTTTACCCTGATAACGTCCACTTAGCCATAATCTCAGGGGTTATCGATGCCTGCGATGCTGCTTGTCCATTCCCGCCATCCTCGGCGGTTGGCAGGCCTTCCGGTCTCCCCTCGCCAGTCATCTTACAAAGACGCCTTCGAAATTATCTCGTTATTGCCAAGATCACCCGGAGTAAAAGGGGCATCTTGTTAATGCGTCAAAGGCCTTCCTTGGGATCGAGGCGGATTCGTGTGTCCTTGGAAAGGTACCGCTGTGGATAGTCTAGTCCGGATTGAGAATACTTGGAACGCAAAAGGGTTTAAAGTTGTGGTACCTGATAACTCCTCCGCTGTAAAAGGCTGCTGACGTTGCTCAGTCGTAGAAATGGTGACTCTTATCAGAAATGTACCGCTCCGCAACTTGACCAAAAGACTGTATTTCGATGCATTGCATAAGCGATAAGCGGAGTGAATACAATTACAGCGGTTTTCATAATTATGTGGAATTCCGATTTTGAAAAATTATGTGGTCCTATTTGCACCGCATGTCGGCCCGGTACGCGAAGTGCTCCGCCTTTTCACGCGATTTCACTGGTTTACATTCAAAAAGCACATTTATGTACCTTATACTGCACTTATATTTTGTTGAATTAGGATGTATCAATGAAAGACCTTTTCCCATGTAGTAAGGTCAAAGTACGCTGCTAATACCAAAGGATTGCCAGCACAAGACAGACATTGAGTCTGACAAAGTCAAGAGACCGAAGCTTACTGATACCATCTGGATATGGAGATGCCAGGTCCAACAATATTAATTGATGAGTATAGCAGCATGTAGTGCTTGAGGATGTCACTTTCGAGTGAGCACAGAATGACAAAGGCTGGATTCTCGAAGGTTTTGCCTCACTCGGAGTCCTGCTTGTAGAGTGCAACGTCGCTATATGCCATGTCATAGGAGCAGAATGCAGTTGATAAACATCTTGAGGCCTTCAGAAATACAATATAGGCATCGTAAAATAGACAATACTGTCGTGCCGTCGTCGCACGGCGCGACAGTGGTGGGAAGAGAAAGGGCCGGGGCCTTGCGATCCAAATACGACCACATAATTTTTCAAAATCGGGATTCCACATAATTATGAAAACCGCTGTAAAAGGGATTATTACCGTTGAAAGTCAAGTCGAGGCTAGCTGATGTGGTACCATGCATCTTGAAGTATGTGGTAGCATAAGTACAGCCCGGAAAAGTCCTCGGATAATTCAAATACATCAAAGTAAACAATGTTTTGGAGATATTTGAAGCTCAAGACATTAAAGTAGATCTAAATACACGCTGGGCCCCTCTGTTATTTTAGCTATTAATGAGCAAGCAAAGCTGGCATTTTGAGTCTCGTTCTCAGGCTTTTGCCTGCCAACTTTGGATGGAATGGCCGTAATTCATGCCAGGCATCTGTGTTGAAATATAGCAGTATCAGCACCAAGAACAAGTACTTATTGGAGACACACTGTATCGCCCTTGCTGTGTTCAATTATATGAGCCACTTCGCAATAGCAAGAGTTCTTGCGAGTGGCGACGCAAGATACATCCATCACATGCAACTCGGAAGTTGGAAGACCTTGCCGATGACACAGGCTGGGCGGTTAAGTCGTCCCTTGCGAAGTCAGGATCGATGGGAAATATCGGCCCATGAGCGTGGTAGTAAAGGCTGCAGGATGGAAAGACGAGTTGTAGTCAAAATTCGAATCCGTAGAATCCGGGTCGAACAGATGGCCCCGGGCCCCAGTGACACATTTATAAGGCTTCAGAAGGAAGTCGCGGAGACGGTCGATGGGCACCTCAAGACAAAGAATTCGTTCAGTAGGTGCTGGTATGTCATCTCGACCGAGAAGAGGCTGAGCATAGAGGCGTAGTAACTCTTGTTCTAAAGCAGACATGGAGGAACGTTTGAAAGAAGAACTAGGTACAGCAAACAGCCACAAGCAGAGCGCCAGAAGACCCGCCGCTTACATCATCGCGGGGCGTGTAATAGCCCGAGTCCTGTGTGGCGGTAGGGCAGAAAACGCTGGAGCGATGATGTCCAATAAAAATTTCAAGTGAAAGATAGACTGTAGCGAAAGCTCGTGCATATCCTTCCCAGAAATATGGTGTCACGTGTATACTAAACAGTGGAAGACTCGGAGAAGAGACGAAGATGAGCAACAGAATAAAGAGACAACGGCTGCTCACCGGCTCACTTCTTTGAGCAACTTTTCTCTCTAGAAAATGGATAAGGGACAAGGTACGACAAGGTACGAGCAGATACACATCCAAATCAGTGAAGAGACGCGCATCGCCATGGCGCCTTGGAACGGATGTGATGCACCTCGGAATGATGCTAACTTTTAGAGGAAACAGATTTGTTCTGATATTTAAGGACTCAGAATGTCGTAGCCCGCCAGATACAACAGTGGTGCTATCATGAATAATCTTCAGCAGACCAAGGGTCCATTTCTTCTCTTTCAAACTCCACAATAGACAACGGCGGACGCTGTGCCACAGGTAAATTTATGCCAGGAGCCAAGAACAGATCACGGTCCAGCTGAGGATCAACAACATCATGCCTACGTCAAATAAGCAAACGTAGATCAGCAGATAAGGACTACTCACACATCTTGGACATGCTTGGAGACATCCTCGTATGACTGGGGATCGACATGATTAGAACAATGCTGACAGTGAAAAAATTCTAAGCTCCCGCTAAAATCGAGTGCATTTCCATAAACCCGCTTCTTCTTGGCCTCATCCTCTGGTGTAAGAAGACGAAAGTCAAACTCGGTGCCTGCACTGTGTGGACTGATGTTGCCCTGATGTACCTTAGCATCATATTACATTGTGGTCAGCTGCGCATTATCTGGATAGGAGAACCATACTCACACATTCACGCCAGGTCAGGATGGGAGGCCCGTAGACTGTGGGGCCCAAGACCGAACAATATTCACCAACAAGATCATGCGTAGAAAGAAATCGAAGGTTCAAATCATCCATTTCCTCTGCGGTTGTTGTGACGGGATCACAAGAAGCGAGTCGAACCAAGGAGGCAGCGATGGCAGATCGTGTCCTATCAAAGACGAGTGTTGTATTTCCGATGTGTTTATACAGATCATCGACGTCTGCGGCCGGGAACTGGTCATGCATGCTCCCTGGTCCTCGAATAAGATAGGGAACACATTGGTGCCGCCAAAGATCTGTATTCGTGATAATAGCATTACATTGGTGTTCACAGGAGAAGACGGCCGTTGCTAGCTTCAAAGGATCGACTCCTTCAGTTTCCAGAGACGCGACCTGGGCTCGCAGCTCGGATTCCTTTCGGCACTTCCAGTCGGCAATCAGAGTTGGGAGTTGTTGCATAGCATCCACAAAGCTGGCGTCGGTGACGACAAGTTCTGTTGGCGCCTCCAAAACAACCCTGAATGCAGGGAATGTGCAAACGTCCGCAAATGAAGGCATTTCGCGCCACACCACAGGCAGGAATTGCTGTTTGTACATGTTAAGAATGCCTTTGACAATTTCAGCACGGCTGAATAACGCGGTAGTACGGTCTGCTTTGGCTTGCTGAACACGGTTTTTCTTGATTACCGCTTCGAGACCCCGACGGCTCCTGTTCCAACCTTGACCATGTTAAGCACAGGGGGTATAAACGACAAGGACCTGCATACCCTGTGATGTTAGCTCAGCGTCACGCACGACGGACGATTCCAGTCTGATGCCCTGAACATCCCTCTCGTCATATCCCAATTCCAAAAGGTGGGTCTTTATCCTAGAAAGCGTTTAGACAGGCGACAGTCATCAATTCCCAGCAGACCCACCTAAAAAATCTCTCGTCTCTCCGACGACCTGACTCATCCGCTTCCCTTCGAGCATTAACACAACTCCATTCTTCACACCGTTTGGCATCCTAATAACAAATAGATCAGATGAATGAGATTATGCACGGAGTCTGCGCAAACTTTAGTCACGACATCGACCAACTTCTTCCGCTCCATTCGAAAGACGGCTAGATATTTGGAGAACCCAGGGTCTGCTTCCAGCTCCTTGATCTTTGCTTGGATCTCCGTGATGTCAGAGATCCAGTAGTAGCCCTTGCGTGAGCACAATCTTCCCGGTCCAGCTTTGTAAGTAGACTTAATTAGTCAAATGCATGTAGAACAGACTGCAGGTTCACCAGTTGTAAGCGGAATAAGGTTCAAGATGTCATCATCGACACCGGGGAAGCGTCTTCTAACCCTTGATGCAGCGATCAAGCTGACGGGGACGATAAGCTCGAATACAGCAACCAACGAGAATGCATGAACGTACTTTGCCTTCGAGCATTGCGTGCAGACACGTCGTCGGGGAATCCAGTCGACAAAGGCATTCTTTATATGGCAAATCTGATAGACTTGGGTTAAATGGGTGCATATCAAAACAAAGCAGCAACCTACATCACAAACTGGTTTCCCAAATAACAGGTCTACCCATCGGTATTCAGGAATTCCTCGAGCTGGCTCGATTCCCTCTTCCGCTTTCCTCACCGCCTTCCAAAGGAACGATGCATCATGCGCGGTCAGAGTGCGGCAGAAATTTGCATCAACCCGCGATAGATTGACGAGGTCTCGCGGAGAAAGCATACCACAGATCTGTTGACGTTGGTCAATGGATAGAATGTAAATGTAGCTTAACTCACCGCGAAGAGAATATCTAGCGGCATTGTTAATAACAGGCCGAGATTTTGCTGTTTCTTCCCAGTTCCCTTCCGTTTGCCTTGAGTAACCTTTGTTGCCCTTTTCGTTCCGGCCGTATTCGAACTGATTCGCCTTCGTTTCGCTGAACCAGGCTTTGTCACTACTGTTCATCTCAGCATTTGGACCATAGAATGTAGAAGGACCATTGCGCACCTTCGCTGCGTCCACCGAAATCGTATTCCTTCTCGATGTTCTCGTCTGATTGCCAACTGTCGGATTCTGGCTCAGAGAGACTCTTCCGTTTGGAAGGGGCTCCTGCCATTCTTGCAGAACGTCTCATCAGCATATTTGCTGCAAGAGAGTTGGCAGTGGAGATGATGGTGGTCGGGAAGTATGTCCAAAAAGGGGCTGATTAGTGATTACGGCAGCTTCGTGCCGGTCCCCGATTCTTCTGATTGATCCCGATGCACAAAACCATAGTATTAAAACATACACTGAGCGTAGCCCGAATTTTGTAAGTTTCAGTTGCACAAGGGGAATCGACCGCATAGGTGGATTAAACATGACTGCATTTAATTGGGATCATCGGTGCCAAGCACGGTGTTGACAAGTTCGTCTGATGGTTTTTACGGGGGGGCGCTCTCGGTGCAGTGGCCCACGAGCTAGCTAGTTTGGTGGGATTTGACGGTGTGGGGCTTCGGTAATAGATGGCGAATCTGTGCGGTTACTTGCTCGCTGCATCCCGTCGGTCCAGAACTTCTGGGGAAAGGGACACATGAAGGCAGACGATGCCCGATTTTCGTCTTTTCTCTCTTGATAGGATCAGTGAAGGGGAAACGAGCTTAAAGAGGGAGTTGACTAATAACAGGACATTGTAACATTGGTGATGAGCGCTACACCAAGACGTTATGAATAGTAGTTCTGGAGGACTTTCAGGAATTGTCTCTGTACCCAAAGGTGGATTCTTGGCTTTGTCGGCAAAGTTGATAAAAAGGGCGACAGTTTTGCAAAAACAAACCAGGTAAGAAGAGCAGGGGGAGACCATGGTTGATGCGCACTTTACACCAGACGGCATCATATCCATACAGCGTTCGGGAATCCATACGGCGAATTCATTTTGGTGTGGGACCCTTCAGTAATCTGCCAACTGGGAAAATGTAGTAACACCCAGATTTTCCATCAACCATGAAACCTAAGGTGACTTGTTTCCCCATTGAATCCTAGGAGTTTTCTAGGAGTGGTATGATTCCCAACCGGTGGAGGACCAGAGGATGAGAAAGGTGTCGTAACATTCCGGAGGATCTTATGGAGTCGACAACAAGTTATCAAGTCGCCGGATATTACATTCTGGCCACCTTGCTCCCAAATTTGCACGCATGATGCAGAACCTGACTCCACCAACGCCCTTCTTCACCCTGATGACATCCACTTTGTCGTAATATCAGGGGTTATCGATACCTGCGACGCTCCTTGTCTATTCCCGCCTATCTCGGCGGTCGGCAGGAACAGATCCCCTCTGGTCTTCCCTCGTCTCACAAAGACGTCTTCGAAATTATCTCGTCATTGCCAAGGAACGCTCGGAGTCAAGGAAGCAGCTTGTTCATGCGGCGAAGTCGCCAGGATGACCTTCCTATAATTCAAATGAGCTGTTTGAGGAGCACCTTGAGTTCGAAACGGACTCGCGTGCGTCCCTTGGAAAGGTACCGCTGTGGATAGTCTAGTCTGGATCAAGGAAACGTGAAAGGGTTTAAAGTTGTGGTACCTGATAGCTCCTCCGTTGTAAAAGGCTGCTGACGTCGCTCAGCTGTATAAATAGAGACTCTTATCAGAAATGTACCGCTCATTTCCCCATCTCTGCACGGCACTGTCCTCGTGCTACCGGAGGTACTGCCCACCTAAAGGCTACCCTCCTCACGTCCGTACCATCCCCGTACGTTATCCACCTCAGATCCGGAACGATCCCTCGATGCCCAAGGAAGAACAAACCCAAGTTCCCCCGTGCCTCCGTCATCGGATCCTTCAATCCTTGTTTCGACGTATCGAATGTAATACTCCGACATAGGACATTCGGTAAACCCGGATCTAAGTTGAGAATCCGAGTAATACTAGTTATTTCTCCACAGAGCAAACGGGGGAAATGTGTGACGAAGGGTAGCGTAGGTATGAACACATCGCGCCAGGATACGCGAAGGAAGAGTTCGGCTCATGCGTGATTGACGAGGACGGAGGAGGTAATGAGGTGGACGCGTTCGGTGGTGGTGAGGTCGAGGGACCACAGAGAAAATATGATCTGCTCGATGATTTCTGGTGGGAGTTTGGTTACGACGCTCAGGTTGGAGGACATGTCCTTGGTAAGAGGGATAGACAAGTTGCTTGCTCTTGTAGGGGCCAAGGCCAATATATACAGCGCTCAAGGTCCGGCGTTGTTTGAGAACCGAAGTTTATCGCCCCCGGATTCATCGCTCTTCACGGCGCTAAGGCCGCCGCAGACGCGCACCACGGTTAGTAGGATCCGCCCTTCAGACTCATTCTTGAAGCCACAGGTCAAAGGAATTCTGCACGACAGGTATCATCCATGCTGTTCGTCTCAGAAATCTGAAGGTCTTCGTTTTCGTCTCACTCTCCAAATAGTCTGGAAGTGTCAATCCTTCTTCAAGTGAATTGTATGATGCGCTCCAGCTCGAATGAAACGTCAATTTCTTGGTATGATGATACGCCTATTCCTCGAGAATGTGATATACGTTAATGATATACCGACGGGTCTGCGATCTTCCACTGACGAGAGCGCTTTTTTGAAGACGGGTGCTAAAGTTCAGCTCATATAACAACTTGGCTCTTACTACACATCGCACCTGTAGAATGCCAGAGACTTGATGGGTAGGCGTGCGAGCAACATCCTGTGCAAATGACATTAGTCCCGCCGCCAAAAATCACATTAGTAAACACGCACCTCAAAAGATACTTTCACCCACTCTATCCCACCACACGCGGACCTCGTCACTTGATGGAGCGCCAGCACCAATCCAAGATGAATTGAGGGTCGCGGTACTTATAGCAGCAGGAAGGGCATTCGAGGGTAGAATGAGCATGGCATTAGACGGACGGCAACACCGATCATTCTGTTTCAAGCCCTTCACTCCAATCGCCTCGACACCAATAACCCATGCCTTCCGCCATTGTCGTTGGCGGTCATCCCATCCATCTCACTCACTGGAACGCTATACGTCGTCTTGGTGTTGGCGCAATATTAGTACTGAGGTCGTTGTGGGAACAAAATACATGGCGTTGGTAAAGGAAGGATGTAAGTCCACTGAGCGGATTGCAGGGGAATGGGAAGGACGGGAGTGGGCGTCCGCAGGAGGAGAATCTGCGCAAGAGTAAATTAGCCCGCAAGAATCAAACTAAGAACAGAGATCCCTCACAGAAAAGAGTTACTGAAGACAACGTGTCATACGAGACTCGATCGAACACGAATGGGTCATAGCCCGTAGTATAGAAGTCGCCAACGAAATATAGGGGTGCCCGAAGTGAAAATGATGCACCAAGTCCTGATATATTGAAATCGCGGTGAAAATAAGTGAATGGAAGGGTAAATGGGAGAGTGAGCTCATCTAATACCAACATCAATGCATGACACAAGTGAGGTAGACGCAGACGCAGAGAGAGAGACAGAAGGGGCGGAAAACTGGATTAATTGGCCATCTCCGCTGATACAGCTTAGGTCGATGCAGAGATCGGAAGAGAGCGCGGTCCAGGTGCCGCGATGAAAAATTATCATGCCGATCCGAGTATGAACCTAAACTGGTATTTCATGGAGCAATCCATATAAGCAAGCTGTTCAATATCAATACTGGAGATGGTTGTAATGGCTGGACTATGTACAAAACATACTGCGAACATCTACTCACATCAGGCAAGAAAAGTTGTACAAGTCTTTGTTGCAATGCCCCGTAACTCCAATGAGTTCATGCCTTCGTATATTTCGAACACCGACAACTTCTTTAGCCTCTGATCTGGTAGTCTCCATCCGACTACCCAGAATATCGGGTCATCATCGACTCCTACACCCATAGAGGTGCCTAATAATGTGTATGAGCCACCTAGTATTGGGTACTGATGACGAGCGACAATATTGAATATACACTCCGTTCCGGTGTCGTCTTCGACAATGAACTCTCCCCGTCGGTCCTGCCCTTGTGAGTCTCCCTCAGACAATCCTCGCACGAATGCCGATTCAATGACGTATCCATTGTAGAACGCATCAACATCATCGATATTGTCAGGATAGTCGATCAACGGCCCTTCCGATAGGGTTGGCAATGGCTTGGTCATGGCCTGTTTCCATGACGGTCGCCAAATCTTGTTTCCGTTCCCCGGTTCAGGATACAGGAAGAGCAAATCCCCCTGAACCAAGTTCACTGTCACATCCACCAGTGCTGTCCACGCATCCTCCTCAGACTGCTTTCCGTAGTATGCCGGTATAGAGTCTGAAAGCAGAAGGTATGCCATCCCCGCAACTTTATCCACAGAATTTGTCGACACCCGCTTCTGCATCTGCGACAGCACGTCATATACATGCAGTCCACGATGTATCTTCTGCAGCGATGACAGTTGGTTCCCAAACCTCGTCCATAAGCATAACTCTTCGTCGCCAGTGTCCCCACCAATGATTGAATGTCTGCTGATCTCCTGAAGTGTCCATGCACGCTTGAACCAACAGTGGTCATTCTCAAAGTCGTCAGCCTCGGAATTCAAAGGCCGTCCCAGCCCACTCAAGTAGCATACTACTTTCTTGGCCTCGACATAGACTCTTCCGATGGTGGGCACATCCACCTTCCACTCCTCCTCACGCAGATCCTCCCTTGGTCCGCCTTTCTGTCTCAAACAGAGCACATCCAGCCACACGTACTCTGCTCCTAGATTGAGCATCTCGATCCGGATGGAATTCAGGCTGGTGCCTTTAGGCATTAGCACCGGCCATTCATAATCGTTGACAGGTGTCAACACATCCTCACGATCTTCTTCATCCACCCACGCATGCGATATCCCCCACGGCCATTGTCGAACCGCCCACCAGGGCACTACCCGATCACTATACAGATCCCAGATGCGCCGAGGGGGCACGTACGAGTGTATGATTTTGTCTTCGACAAGTACATCTTGCAACATCTTTCGGTGCTGCACATCGCGCTCGAGTAAATCATCTATCATGGTGGTCAAGTCAGACTCGTTGTGCCAGAACAGGCGGAGATGGGCGTATGCGGTCCCAAAGTCATAGTTTTTCGAGATGCAGTACTCAAGAATAGAGTATACCCCCGCAGTGCCCTGAGTGTATGACGTGCCGAGGATGGCGTTGAGCTTCCCCAAGAGTCCCTGAATGCCTAGTCTGGCCGCGGTCCGGTGCAGGACCGCATGAACCCGGTCCGAACCTGAACCGAACCCGCAGGTCCAGGTGCGGTTCAGGTTCAGGTTCAGCACAGCCACCGAGGTCCAGGTGCGGGGTTCAGCCTGGCCGAAATTTGCGCACCGGGTCCGGACCGGGTTCGAACCTGCTGAACCTCCAAATAATTCGTGCAAATTTCGCGAGTGTACAGGTGAGTTTATAAATCTAAATTTCCCCTCGTAATACTACCTAATACAGAGAATCGTGGTCTCATTTTGGGGTAGCTATATAGTCGGGCAATATAAGGTTCAAGCCACCACGTTCAGCACTGTAATTACGTCTTTGCAAGAAATTTGAGCAAATCGAGTACGCCCGAGTACGCCCGTCGCCGTCCCTGGATCTTCTACATCATCGGAGCGTGCTTTCTCATATGCAGGGCGTACTGATTCTGATCCTCGCCGTCGAAACCTTGGTGCCGAGAAGTTTGGGACGCTGCAGCGTTTGAAGGAAGCTTATCGAGATGGACGCGTAAGTGCGCAGAATGAAGCGTGGATGGATACTGGACCTTGTTTTGACGAGGCAGACTGGGACTTTTCAATGTAGTCGTTGATCCATGTAGTTTAGTGATTGTTTTTATATACATGGTTTGTGAAAAAAAAACTGTTGGACCGGGTTCGAACCTGGACCGAACCTTGTGGACCTGAACCTGAGGTTCAGGTTCGAGGTTCGGGGGGTTGGGGAGCGAACCTGGAGGTGCGGGTTCGAGGTTCAGGCAAATGTGCCCGAACCTGGACCGAACCGGACCCCGGCCAGACTATGAATGCCGAGCTCGGCGCAGTGAGTGTCGGCGAGATCGGATGGTATGACGGGCTTCCTGCCGGTGTAGGACTGTTGCTTCGGCACTAGAATGGACGCCTTTTGACCTGTCCCTATGGGAGAAGAGAGGGTCACCTCGTCATACTTGAGGTGTGTTATACATTTAATGTTCTTCTTTTCTTGTTTGTAAACACTCACCCGTTTATCGTCGTAGTCCCTGTAGGTTACAATAACGTCGTGATAACAGCGAAGCCATTCATCCCTATCCATTTCGAGTATTCCTGAATCCTAGTCATAGCCAGAATAAGGACATACAATAGTGAAAGCGACACAAAAGCACATACTACTGGGGAGGTCGATGGGGTGTGGTACCAAACTGCGTTGAAGCCGTGGTAGCACCAGGGCTGTATCCAAAGGATTAGTAAATGCCTTGTCGAGATGAGCGGTAATTCTCCAACCGTTCACCTGCCGGATATAGCAGGGAACCCTCGCAATCAGGCGATGATCATCATTATTCGTTCACCTATCTATCTACGCCTGTACACCAGAAACAATACTACATAGTAAACAAAGCCGGGGAGAAGAACAACGTTTCCTTGCCTGACAACCCAAGATCCCGACGTCGACTGCACTCAGCACTGCGATGCGTGACACTTGATATTACAACATTACTCAGAAATACTAACTTTACATGCATTTTTCCCTGAAGGAAACGGTTCTGCAGCCACGAGTGGTACCAAAGGACTGACGTGATTTATGCACGATGCCATTCCAATGTCCGACGTTAAACTAAAAGCTCGTTCATCGTCGCTCCAGTGAGTCTCTTCATCCAACTAACGTTTATCACATGTAGATTGTATCTAGAATAGATGCGTATCCACTGCAGGCGGTATGGCATCGGTTTTCAGTACCACGCCTCCAAGCGTGTCTGAACATTGCGCAATGAGGTGCTTGTAACCATGGGGAGCGATAGTGCCTGTTCAATACATGCAGAAGGATTTGATGAATTTTCCGAAGACATGTTCGAACTATTGCATTTCGTCCGATCGACTTTGAGTCATCCTGGTCAAAACCAACTGATTAGTTTCCTTCCAAGCCGTGCTAAAAATCGATCTACTAGAAAACCGAGGCTGGCCATTGTGGGTCCGACATGCCCCCCAAAAGGCCCCAGCCAGAACTGACCCTAACCCTAAGGTTCTGCCTCTAGCAGACAACAACGCGCTGGATTAATAAGACATCAGCGCGAGAAGAACCAGGGAAGGAAGAGGACATACCATATACAAAACTGGTTCAAATTCCTCCCGTCCAGGGCGGTTATTTGCTCAGCCGCAACATTCGTCAATTTAGTGGACGGAGAATGGCATCAAATCAGACCTTCCGCTTCTTGGAGGTCAACGAAAGGAATGATGATCGTGCCATAGATCTTAAACCAGTTTCAGTGGGAAAAAAAAGATGAATACTAAAAAAAAACATACCACGGACATAGCTAGCGTCCACGCTGCAAACGAAGATGATAGGCTGAAGGAACAGTTAGTCAAAAACGTCCTAGTCAACACAACTCAGCGACGTACTTTGCAGTGCTACCCATGGGATTTTCAGGATCCATACAAAGTAACGGCTGAAAAAGAACACAGCATTAACTGAAGAATCGAGATTTAGTACACGAGATCAGAAAAAGATATCGGTAGCGTACCATACACCTTGCCTTCGGGATGGTGAGCTCAATCCATACTTTCGAATCCTGCACGTAGTGAGGTCAACGAACGACGTCAATGCACAGACTTGACAACATACCTCGAACTCAATCAAAATCAATACGCCTCAGGCACCCAACCATAGAACATCGAGGCACCTCTTCTCCCAGTTACGATCCCCTCCCACTTTTCAAAGCGTGGTTGGCGATCATCCTCCCCACATCGCGCGGCAACCCAGCCTCCAAAATCCTCCGCCGTTCCATGCATCTTGGTCACCAGAGCATAATATACTGTGTCAGCGCAAAGTTCAACCTGCCCTGTTGAGAGTGAATGGCATACGCTGCAGAAAAGGTTAGCCATGCATGCGTGAGCAGGAAGTCAACAACATACCTCGTAACACTGTACCCCATTCCTTCGATGTTGATTCATATGGATTGCCTCCCCGAAGCAGACACCGTCACCAGAGGGAAGGATTTGACCTAGGAGAGAAAGTATTTAGCGCTCAGATTGACTGAACATTGAACAACTTACCGAAAACCCACTCCCAAGATCGGAGAGCATGTATACCGAACCTTCCTGCATGTAACGGAACCATCCTTCGACGCGACCACAGCTCGTACCTCTGGGTACTCCCGCGTCTCGCTCGCTTGAATGCGATACGCCATCTTGGCGTAGTCCTGGTCCCACATATTGGGCTGATGGTGGTGGTGAGAGACATGCATCATTGAAGGAACGCAAGACGTAGCACGAGGAAACTTCCATAGAAGGGATCTAGGTGAAAGTGTGTTAGCTACAGAGAAGTGAAGTAAGCACCGACAGCTCACCTAAATTTGAAGCCAGAAGCGAAGCTCTCGTACGCGTTGGAGTAGAGGCGGGCCTTGATCATTTGAATCGTCCTCTACTTCCCAGACTCGCTATCGTCCCCAAGCACCCTTGTATCTCTGTCCTCAGAACGCGATAGTACGTTGCCTCGGCGCAAATTCGGCACGATATCTTGAGGTTGAGGTCGGTCGAAGGAGATACCCATCATTGATCTGAGGAAGACGCGAGGTACAAAGAACGGATCGCGGTGGAAGGGGAAGAACGAGAGTGTTCAGTAAACGTTGGAGGGAAAAAAGTTTGATTACAGATGAATATCACGTGTATAGTGACTTCGGACCGACACGCGTCCTTCTAGCCTGGTAAATTTACCTAAGCTGCCACTTTATTCGAAGCATAGCGCGGAATACTGAGATTTGTCAAAGGGCTGAAACCGGGATTTGTTTTTGTGGTCCTAGTTGGGCCATTGACGGCTGGGATGTATTGAGCAACGGCAGTCTTGATCTCCTGGGCTGTCGTACGCCTAGCGACCCTTTGCACGACGCGGTTCCAACCTTCAATGTACTCTTTCGAGTTAACATCAATAATAATGCCTCCCCTAGTGAAGAATTGCGGTCGTAAATGGTCGCAGTCGAATTCCTTGTGAGCCTCGAATGTCGCCTCGATGTCTGGGTCGGTAACTGCTCGCTGGTGATGTTTCACAAAACCTTCGAAGATTCGCTCTCCTTCACATAACTCCGAGATAAAGCTCAAGAAGTTTTCGTACGCTGCGAGCCATTGGGCCAAGGTCATGTCCTTTTCGTTGGGGAAAGTCGAAGTATCGAGTACTCGGATGTTCGTCGATGTAGCACCTCGTGCGAACTTCCGATACGTTACATCTCTTCCGAGCCTAATATTCGTGAGCGTTGTGGGAGTAAACATCGTCAACGGTGGTGAGATTCCATTGCGGGCAAGAACGAACAGGTCTTCGGGATATGAGGACTCTAGGGTGCGATAACCTCCATTGGCCAAGGCTTTCGCGTCCCCAAATTTGAAGCCTGTCTCCGAGTCCTTGGCATGGTCCTTGGAAGCAGTGGACATAGTCGAATTGTTTTGATGAGTACGAACAAGAGAATTCATTCGATCAGCCAGCTCCTTCTCATCTTCATCTTCTGAAACCTCGCTAGCATCATTGGCCTGCCTTCTCCTTTCCGCTCGCCTAGCATTTCTTCCTTTCAATTCTTTCATCATCTGAGCAGTCATTGCTATCATGGTGACGTCGAAGCCAGTTCCTTGATTTGCCGAGCCATGAGGTCTTCCGGAGGAGGTAGAGGGGGCATTGTTGGTTTGAGCAGACATAGTGGATGATATGATAAAGTAATAGTATTTCTGGATGACTGAAAACGCAACGAAGTTGCAAAGTGCGAATGAGGTGCTGACTGCGAACGAGGAGAGTCAAGGATGAAGGCAAGATTGAGCCCTTCTCGTTCGCTTTGTCAGCACCTTATGAGCATTGCCTCACACGTTCGGCTGATGCTCAACGCCCAGACGCCTAGTCAGGTTATTTTTACTTGGATCCTCCACAAGGCGACGAATTTGTCGTTATTCCTGGTACAAAAGACTTAAGATCAAGGTATTCGTGCAGTAGTACTTCAATGTCTTACACTCACTCGCGCCCTAGTATCTGGAAAAAAACCTTGGGGCAGCTAAGGTTAAGCTCAGCCAAGAGGAGATTGCTGCTATTCGTAAACTCGCGGAGGAAAGCGATATTCCTGGAACAAGGTATGGGGCAACTGGAATGGCAGCAGTGATGCAGGCCACACCCGAGTTATCCAAATAGCTTTACGCCGACGAAGCATGAAAAGGTGATTTGTATTATTACATGTGTCAATTGGATGGAAATCGAGTCTCAAGCCGTTCCAAAATTACAGGGTGAAAGACCTTGACTGGGAACAGGAATAGTATCAACTCTCTGTGCGAGGGAAGGTTCTGCAATCTAGGGCGAGAACATCAATCGTTGCACGAAGCGCTCTGCGTAACCCACGAAACGCCTTGAATTTTGGACATTCTAGACTTCTTTTCCGACCTGAGCGAGGTCCTAAAGGTCTGCGCCATTGCTCTAAGCATGATGTAGCGCGAAACTCCTGAAGCAGGCGTTAAAGGTGTCATAAGGAGGATTTATGGAGTCAACAACAAGTTATCAAGCTCCTTACGGTCACCCCGCATTGCATTCTGGCCGGAATTTGAACACATGATACAGAACTGGACTCTACCAATGCCCTCCTTCACCCTGATAACGTTCACTTTGCCGATGCCCTGCGACGCTGCTTGTCCCACCCCGTCTACTTCGGCGGTCGGTAGGAACAGATCCCTTCCGGTCTCCCCTCGCCAGTCGTCTTACAAAGGCGCCTTCGAAATTACCTCGTTATTGCCAAGACCACCCGAAGTAAAAGGGGCATCCTGTTAATGCGTCAAAGGCCTTTCTATGCTTCAAAAAAACTGTTTGAGCACTTTGAGTTTGAAGCGGACTCGCGTGTGTCCTTTGGAAAGGTACCGCTGTGGATGCTCTAGTCCGGATCGAGAGTATTTGGAACGTGAAAGGGTTTAAGGTTGTGGTACCTGATAACTCCTCCGTTGTAAAAGGCTGCTGACGTTTCCTAGCTGCATAAATGGAGACACTCATCAGAAATGTACCGCTCATTTCCCCATCTCTGCACGGCATTGCCCCCGTGTGTCTGGGGATACTGCCCACCTAAAGGCTACCCTCTTCACGTCCGTACCATCCCGGTACGTTATCCACCTCAGATCCGGAACGATCCCTCGATGCCCAAGGAAGAACAAGCCCAAGTTCCCCCGTGCCTCCACCATCGGATCCTTCAATCCTTGTTTCGACGTATCGAATGTAATACTCCGACATAGAATATTCGGTAAACCCGAATCCAAGCTGAGAATCCGAGTAATACTAGTTGCTTCTCCACAGAGCAAACGGCGGAAATGCATGACGAAGGGTAGTGTAGGTATGAACACGTCGCGCCAGGATACGCGAAGGAAGAGTTCTGCCCATGCGTGATTGACGAGGACGGAGGAGGTAATGAGGTGAATGCGTTCGGTGGTGGTGAGGTCGAGGGACCAGAGAGAAAAGATAATCTGCTCGATGATTTCTGGCGGGAGTTTGGTTACGACACTGTTGGAGGACATGTCCTTGGTAAGAGGGATAGACAAGTTGCTTGCTCTTGTAGGGGCAAAGGCCAATATATACAGCGCTCAGGGTCCGGCGTTGTTTGAGAACCGAAGTTTATCGCCCCCGGATTCATCGCTCTTCACGGCGCTAAGGCCGCCACAGACGCACATCACGGTTAGTAGGATCCGCCCTTCAGATCCTTCGTTCCAACTGTCACGCTTGTTCTTGAAGCTACAGGTCAAAGGAATTCTGTGCGACAAGTATCATCCATGCTATTTGTCTCAGAAATCTGAAGGTCTTCACTCTCCAAATAGTCTGGAACTGTCGATCCTTCTTCAAGTGAATTGTATGATGCGCTGGTCAAGTTCGAATGAAAAGTCGATTTCTTGGTATGATGATACGCTTACTCCTCGAGAAAGTGACATACGTTGATGGTGTCCTGCCTATGGGTCTGTACGAGAGCCCTTTTCTTTTCAGACAGGTACTATACGACGTGTAATTCAGCTCATATACTTCCCATTGATTCGATTTGGCTCTTACCATCTATCGCACCTGTAAAATGCCATAGACTTGAGCTTGCCAGTGATGGTCATCAGTGAAATCCCGTGTTACATAAAACCGAACCCCGTTGAGCAATTAGTTCCGACCCGGGGTTAGCGGATCAACCGAACAGACCCGCGACTTGTCCCTTGAAGATCTGTTTTCTTGCTTAAACGTCAAGCAGCAAGTTCATGCTTGACTGGTAGGTGTAGTCCCGGTTCGCCAGTTGCGTCAACCTCTGGATATGCGAATGTTGCAATGCCTCATCGCACACTCCCTGCGTGTCATGTACTAGTTCAAGCACCTCGGGAGGCTCATACTGAACTCGTTTCAATCTTACAGTTGAGAGATCTCGTCACATTATTGTACGTCAACCGTGTCGTAACCACCTGTAGCAAAAATGGCGTAATCCTCCTGGTGGCTCACTTCATGGAGTCGATAGGAAGCTCATCACATCCCGGAGGTGAACGCTGGACATTGCGGAGCTGCCGCTAACGGTAAACATCATATATATGAGACCCAAGAAGCAGGGTACGCTCCTTCCCAACCACCATCATGTCTTTACCTCCCAGGAAAATCGGTGACGCATTGATCAACCCTATCGGTTTGGGGGCCATGGGTCTCAGCAGCTTCTATGGGTCGGTAGACTCCGACGAGGTCATCTCTCTCTTCACGAATAAAGAGGAGTGCTCACTGAAGTTTTTCCTGCTTCACTTTAGTGACAAAGTGTTCGCAGGTATTCATTCTAAAGAGAAATTTCCCAAGATTCTTGATCTCGTTGATCGTTTGAAAGTCATCGCGCCAAAACATAGCGCGACGCCTGGTCAAGTTACCCTCGCGTGGATCCTTGCACAGGGCGACGACTTTGTTGTCATTCCTGGGACGAAGAAGATCAAGGTAACCTATATGGTTATACTCCATTTCCTTCTACTCATGTGTTCTAGTATCTGGAAGAGAACCTCGGAGCGGCCAAGGTGAAGCTCAGCCAAGAGGAGGTCGCAACTCGCGGAACAAAGTGACATCCCTAGAGAAAGGGACTCAGCAGACGCCCTGGGGATAGTGATGCAGGATACGCCTGAGCCTTGAATCCGTGATTTGAATTTTGTACTATTATCAATCAAGTTTAAGGTCATTACAGAATCGCCATGTAAAACGAAAGACTTCCTGGCATTAGAAAAAAAATTCTCTCTGCGTGATCCAGAGTGCTCCACGGCGGACATACGCTAGTGTTGGTCACGCGAAGGAAGAGTTCAGCCCAGCCAGTGAGGGTTCGGTGCGAGAGACCACAGGGAAGTGATGGGTGTTTCGATGATGTTGCTGGGGGGGGATGTTGGTCCCTACAAGAGCGAGTAGACCCAAAGTTTATCGCGCCCAGATTCGTGACACTAGAGCTTCAGATCTTTGGTTCAGACTGTTCTTGAAGCCACAGGCGAAAGGAACGTCATTCATGCCGCTTACGGCTCAGAATCCAAAGGTCGTTTCTCGCCAATTATAGTCTTTAGTTACTATCGAACGTCTTTGATGTGGAGATGAAATGGGACGTGAGTTGCACGATGCGTCAGTCCAGCTCGAATGAAAAGTCGACTTGCTTCTTGGTATGGTGATGCCTCCTATTACGCCTGGAGGTGACATACGTTGATGGTATCCTGTCGACGGGTCTGCGAGCTTAAGTTTCTTTTCAGACGGGTGCTATACGATACGGAAGTTCAGCTCATGTAGCATCATGTTCTTCACATGCTTCTCGTTGACTCGATTTGGCTCTTACCATTCACCGCACCTCTTGTCGGAACGTATTCTTCAGAATGCCAGAAACTTGCGCTTGATGTTGAGAAATGCCGTCTTAAAACCGACCCCGTTGAAGCACAAGTTCCGACCCGGGACAGGCGGATCAGCCCGACCAAAACGCGCACGCGACTCGAACGCGTTTTTTGTTGATCAGACCAAAAAGAAAAACTGTGAAGTCGCGTGATTGCGACGATGCTTGATTTCTGTGTATGGTCTAGACAATTGACTTGGAAAATGTTATGGATGATGGTTGTGGTTGTGGTTGTGTCGTGAATGCTGATGATGCTGATGCCAATGCCAATGATATGATGAAAAATAAACGCCGGAGGAGCAGCTCTACTGAGTTCGCCTCCTGGTCCTCGGTCTTTCTTCCTCCTCCTCCTCCTCCTCTGCATCCTCCTCGTCCGACCTCTTTCGCGTCAAAGGTGACGATGGGCCCGCAACAAGTTCAACTGGTGTCGTCGGAGCCTGGACGGGAGCGGGATCAGGGGGAAGGGTTACAGGTGCTGATGTTGATGCCAATGCCGGTTGTGGTTGTAGTTGTGTTGGTCCCAGTGCGACGTTTGCTACGACATCATCCCTCAGTTCCGACGACGACGCATGCCGGGACTCCAACCAAGCCGATTCTCGCGTGGTGGTGGCTTTCTCCGGCGTGGTTGGGGGAAGCAGAGGATGCAGTATGTTTTCGAGCTCGTGGCGGCGTTCATGGTCTTCCAGTGATGGATCATCATGACGTGGTACGAATACACTCCCGTCACGATAAATGAAGGGAATCGAGCTGGCGGCGGCGGCCGAGGAGGAGAGTGAGGTAGGTGCCGCCACATCTTTTATCGATGGTTGAGTTCGTGGCGGGTCTTGGACTGGAGGAGGAGATGCTGAGAAGAAGCCAGTACGGTTGTTTGCGTAAATCACAGGGCCACCATGAGGACCGAGGCATCGTGGCTGTGGCGTTGTTGTGCATGGTTCATACGGCTTTCTCAGGCTGCGGACAGGAGACCGGCTAGTGTTGCCAAACACGAAGAGTCTGTTTCTCAACCCTTCGGTTGCCCATGAGAACATCCCTGCAAACGAAAATCCTTCCGAGGCTGGTTCGAGTTTTGGACACTCGGTGGGAGGGCCGGGAAGATTGAACAAGCACCTTTGAGGTAGATGGATGTATTGTTAGATTAGGAAGATATAAAACGGGTTTGTGTATAAACTTACTCGACTTGTATATGAACATAACCACGAGAATCTGGTGCTAGACCTGGAAGGACGACCTGGTGATCAGAACCGGGAGACTTGAGAACGACAGTGACGTCGGGAGTATGGGATGGAGAATGTGTTAGGTAAGAAGGGATTAAAACCTCCATGGTGTCCGAGTCAGCCATGGGGAGCAAGGGCTGAAAACATCGAGGATCCCAAACATCGCCACCTTATAACTGCCGGCCTCGGGTAAACAAACTTAGTTTGTTCGTGTCCGCGTCATCAACGTATTTGGCAATTGATGAAGCTTCGACAGCGCTTTGGCCGGTCTAGAAACGGCGAAAGCAAGGGCACGGTGCTTTGAGAGTGTACGTGATTGTGATTGTTCGTGAAAGACAAACATTCCCAGGAACGCACGCGACACGGGTCGTCCTCGACACACAAAAAGGGAAATAGTGCGAGAGCAGTGTCCACGGAGACCAAGTATCGTTTCCAAGGTATTTTCGCAGGAACATCAGTGTCGGGTAACCCTAATGTCGTCGCTTCGGTTTTTACATACTTGCAAGGCAGAACCTTTTTTACTGTGGCGAAAGCCAGCTGTTAAGTGACCCGGAGTTGACCCAGAGCGGCCGCTTAGCAAGGATAGCTGACTGGCAACGGAAGGAAGCCCGCGTTGAGACCGCACGTGGACTCTCCATCCATCCACATCTGCGATGGTCCGTGGTGCTCGAATGAGTTGACGACAAAACAGGACTATTCGGGACTTGCCGCAATCTGCGCCACTCAAAACTCCGTACTTTTCAGTGCCTCATACGGTATAAGGCGGTATTTGCTCTTTGGATAAACGATAATGAGGCTGTATCAGCGCTCAACGTGTCCCCAAACACTTATATGACCACTCCTGAGCCTATGGGAAGGGGTTTCCCATCAGGGCCGGCAATGCAATGGTATAAATGTCCCGGGGGTGCCCTGCTGTCCAACAGATAGATTATCGCACCCATGGACAAGGTAGCAGAACTCCAGCAGAAAGACGTCCCAGAGATCTTGTTCCCCAGTACGTCTCGATTTCCGCTTCTTTTCTCCTGCGGCTGACACAGTGATCTTGACAGCTGTGGGCATCTTCTTACCCCTCCTCGAGGCCAAGAGAGAGAAAATACTTGCAACGAGCAAGAGGACGTTCCAGTATGGCGCAACAGAGAGACACAAGGTACGTCTCTCCAACCCTACTAAATTTCCCATTTTCATTGCTTGCGATCAGCTTGATATCTACTACCCATCAGCTACATCTACACCATCAAAGAGCCCCCTTCTATTCTTCAGCTACGGCGGAGGCTTCGACACCGGCGCTCGCGCCCTCCCCCCACCCGCAGACCTCGTCTACGCCAACCTTGGATCCTACTTCTCCTCCCAAGGCTTCATAACCATCATCCCGGACTACCGCCTCGTCCCCAGCGTCCAGCACCCCGGAGCAGCCCAGGACGTCCGCGATGCCATGCAATGGGCCATCGACAACCCCGAGAACCTCGCTTTCGGCGGAGCCACGGAACCCGATCTCGACGCGCTCTTTGTCATGGGCCACTCTGCGGGAGCTATGAACGTGTTCACGATTCTTATCACACCCGAGTTGTATTCGGCCACTTTACATCCTAGGATTAAGGGCGCGGTGTTGTTCGCTGGGGCGTATACGTTTGAGGAGATGCCTGGGTTTATGACCGTTGCGGTGGAGCAGTACTATGGGCCGGCTTCCGTGGAGCAGGTTAACGGGCACGAGCACAAGGGAAAACATCAGAGGGAGAAGTTACCACTGGGTCTGCTGCAGGCGGCCACTGAGGAGAAGATAACCTCCCTTCCTAGATTACTGCTGGGCATCGCCGAACGAGACCCTGACTCGCTGATCGACGCCTCGAAGAATTTCCAGTTGGCTTTGGAAGCCCGTGGTCTGACGTACGACAAATTTGTCGCTGCAGGGCATAATCACATCAGCGTGAATTTCGCGGTTGGCACGGGGCAAGGCGAGGAGTGGGCTGAGGACGTTGTAAAATGGATTAGATCGGTGTGATATGTGTGAGTGCGTCGGTTAACTTATTGTAGTAGGTGCGCGCTTACAAGTGCTAATATAGAATTATGAAAACTCTGCTTCGTTTTTTAATACTTCTGTTCAAATTCGAGTGTAACCTATGTGATGTGAATTTTGCTTTTCATCAGCTAGGAGTCCGACGGAGCCATCCTTCCAGAATCCCGAAACCTAAGAAAACGTGTCCTTAATTACTCGACCAGCTTTCCATCCATTCTCCATACTTGCCAGGCTATAATAAGAGCCAGTCGTTGGAACATTCTGTGGAGGGACCACGGTACCGCTGTGGAGAAAGCCCGTTGGTGCTGTTGTAAATTTGGAATCGGTGACTATTACAACAGACAAGGTAGATAAATTAGAGTTCCAAGTTCTTCTGGCTCATCAAGGTTACCCCGGGGACAAACTGCGGGAGGCGGATTTGTCGCCCACCGTGCTGTTGAACTAGTTCGTCATTGCTCTTTTGGGAAGCCCTTGAAACATGTCAGGATCCAGCAAGCTACCTTCCATTCCCCTCTTACTCTCAGTCCTCTTAACTTCCGGGAGGACATTCTACCAGACACTAGCGCACCTCGTCAAACACCTTGACTCCGCCGGTCTGGCACCAACAGCCTTCTCCATAATCACCCCTATATGCCTCCTCGCTGCCAAATTTGACAATACTACGTGGTCAATCATCGAAAAGTTCGATTCTGTGCTGTTCTACGCAAGCTGGACTATACGGTATGGAACGGGCGCGCGTGAATATAAAATGTTCGAAGACGACCTCCTACAAATGGCGAATACATGCAGGCTCGCGAGGGAAGAGCTCGTCCCCGCCATCGAAGGAAACTTGGATAGGATCGAACTGCCCCTCATATCCACACTCCGTGGGCCGTGCGGATTGGAGACCTTCCTTCGATTCGTCAAGCATATCCCGGGGTTTTGGTCCGTGCGGATCGACCTTCTCGACGACATTCCAGATATTATGTCCTCAATCTATAATTCATGTAGGGCAATGATGACCTGCCTCGATTGTGTCGAGCAGTATTCGTGCCTCATTCAGAGGCGCTTCCAAGACAAGGAATGGGTTTCTCAGCATCAAGGTCGCTCGGACTTGTATCGGTGCTTGTCAGCCACTTTAGGTCGTGTGACGGGTTCACTGTACATGTCTGGTCTGCGCTGCCATACCGATCTGGAGGCATACCTACCCAGGTACGTAAACCTAGTCCCTCTTAAGCACGGCTGTTTTCCGAGTGTTATTTTCTTTGCAGGCCGCGTTACTCCTACTATTACTGATATGAGTATAGTCTCTCTGATGAATAACAGTGTATTATTAGCCCTGATCCAGTGAATTGGCAGATTTTCTGATCGTCTGGTCCCGTCATCATATCGGCGGGTGCATTTATAGTGCATGCTGTATTATATGTACTTCTATTAGGAAAGGTGAAAGACTGAGAATAGGGAAACGTGAGATGTATGAGATTTCCGAGCTCGCCGTGCCAGTAACTTTATACTGCAAGCGCGACGGGTTTAACCTTGTTCGATCCTTGATAAGCTAAAAGAGGCTCCTCGCAACACATACGGAAGCACTGGCAAGATCTGATCATTACAATAGATGGTAGATAAATCAACTGACTCCTGTCGGCAAGTGTACTTGTCTAAGTGAAGAGGTCCTGCATCCGCACTTCAACTTCCTCAGTTTGGTCATCTTCGGATTCCCCGGCGTTCTTGGGAGGCACGAAACTATCATCAAACAGGTTCTTTACTAGCTGCAGAAGGTCATAATCCCTGTTGGAGAATCGTCAGAAAGATGTGGATATAGCGAACCTATAGAAAGCCTAACGGTCGCGCTTCAGACATATGCCATTCTGAATTTCAAAATACCATTTATAGTAATCGGACCCAGAGAAGTGCGTTGTTAGTATGACCAATTCAATGAAACAAGATTAATCAACCATATAAGGATAAAGTACTTAGGTCTTAGGAGTAGTCACCTATACACCTCATAAGGCCAGCCTTGTATACAATTCCCTGTAGGCTCAGGAATTAAATTGTACACAATCCTGTGGGGCCTGTAGGCCTGATAAGTATACACATGTATGAGGGCCTAAATCCAACCTAAATCCACATTTTCTCAACTATTAGGCACATTTCCCATCGGGATGGGCCGGAATTTTCCGTGGGACCTTTCATAAAAATCTATAATTAGCCTGTGAAGTCATCCCATCAATATCTGGCCAAAATCGGCTGGATGCGACCAAATGATGGCATCATAGGGGCTATTTTCCGGTCAGAATAGGATTTAGGCTGGCTTCTGGTAGCTGGATGGGTCAGGAAACAGTACTAGAATGTTCATGAACCTAAATAACATAAAAGCGAACCTACTGATGAGGTATGGGGGCTCTGGAGAGTGTGTAATATAGGTAATTTCGCAAAAATGGCTGCAATATTTGCTTTTTTGGGGTTTTTTAGGGTGATACATGCATTGTATCGACCAGGGAATGTCACCAATGAATTTCCTGACCTTGAAAACCCCTAAAATATCCCTCTATAGCACTTGTGGCACATTTTATTACCAGGATTAGACGAACACATTAGCTTTTTAAGAGAGGATTGGGGTGCACATATGGTTTATGTTATTTTCTGAGCTTCGAATGAGACTGGGATTGTTACCAATGAATTCCTTGACCTTGAAAACACTGAAATGACTATAGGAACAATTTATCAGGCTCTATAAATGGTAGTAATGATAATATTACAGTTTAGGAGGAGCACATATGGAAAATCACTTTTCTGTACCTCGGAATACTTCGGAACTTCTACCAGTCTGTTCATTGACCTCAAAATACCTCGTATAACACAAGGATTTAAAGAAAACCTACAAAAATACATGTTAAAAAAGAGTAATAGGGGATGGAGGAGATATACCTTGTATTACGCATTTCTAGTGGTTGGAGAAGGTATTCCTGTTATCTATTAGACGATATATATTCTATAATCATTTGTACAAATTCCCACATTTATCCGAAATGTATTGGAAGAGATATAAGCATATCATTTTGCAAATGATGAGGAGCACATCCCCAATTTCGATATTCTGATCATTCTATAGCTTGGGGAATGTCAGAATCGGATTCCTTGACCCAAAAATGGTAGGGTCACCAATCATCCATGGGAAGTGAAGTGTCAACACTCTGAAGTACAATATGAACTTTCCTTGATAATTGCTGCAGTCTGATTTGTTCTTACCATTAGATGTTTTCTTGATAAAATAACCATGGATGATTGGTGATCCTACCATTTTTGGGTCAAGGAATCCGATTCTGACATTCCCCAAGCTATAGAATGATCAGAATATCGAAATTGGGGATGTGCTCCTCATCATTTGCAAAATGATATGCTTATATCTCTTCCAATACATTTCGGATAAATGTGGGAATTTGTACAAATGATTATAGAATATATATCGTCTAATAGATAACAGGAATACCTTCTCCAACCACTAGAAATGCGTAATACAAGGTATATCTCCTCCATCCCCTATTACTCTTTTTTAACATGTATTTTTGTAGGTTTTCTTTAAATCCTTGTGTTATACGAGGTATTTTGAGGTCAATGAACAGACTGGTAGAAGTTCCGAAGTATTCCGAGGTACAGAAAAGTGATTTTCCATATGTGCTCCTCCTAAACTGTAATATTATCATTACTACCATTTATAGAGCCTGATAAATTGTTCCTATAGTCATTTCAGTGTTTTCAAGGTCAAGGAATTCATTGGTAACAATCCCAGTCTCATTCGAAGCTCAGAAAATAACATAAACCATATGTGCACCCCAATCCTCTCTTAAAAAGCTAATGTGTTCGTCTAATCCTGGTAATAAAATGTGCCACAAGTGCTATAGAGGGATATTTTAGGGGTTTTCAAGGTCAGGAAATTCATTGGTGACATTCCCTGGTCGATACAATGCATGTATCACCCTAAAAAACCCCAAAAAAGCAAATATTGCAGCCATTTTTGCGAAATTACCTATATTACACACTCTCCAGAGCCCCCATACCTCATCAGTAGGTTCGCTTTTATGTTATTTAGGTTCATGAACATTCTAGTACTGTTTCCTGACCCATCCAGCTACCAGAAGCCAGCCCAAATCTTATTATGACCGGAAAATAGCCCCTATGGTTACTGTTTCTTAAATTGGATGTGACTGTTACAGCTGACCATCTGTTCTCAGTCATGCAATTGGTCAGCAGCGAGACCATGTGAAGGGATCAGAGGATCACATGACTCATATACGTTCACAAAGTAGGCCAATTTATCAGTGTGAGGTGAGAGTCTTGGTGCAGACATTGTGTGACAGAAGAGATTTAAGGCTATGTTGAGGGGAAGACACATTGTGTGAATAGTAAGGTGTGTACTCACATGCAGTGTACTGATGAGATACAAATGATTATTTAAATAGTTGGAACACTCTCATGCTTTCCATGATTTGACACACAAGATAGTGAAGGCATTTGATGCATATACACTGGGGAGCAGGCCCTATGCCTGCACTATGATGGAGATTCTGTATCAGACCAGTTATATGAATAATCAGATAGATATGAAAAGTTATGATGATAGGACTGATGACTCAGTCTTTTTCCATCTGGAAAATCAGGTCAAGTGCAGGTGAAAGTGGTACTGATGCATTATATTTCTTGAGATAGGAGAGGAAGACAGACCCAAACATTGTGCATATTATTAATATCAATATTTTCTTGCGGTGAATAATCAAATACAATTTTGGTTATATATAATATACTTTTAGTTATTATGTATATTAGTATATATGATATAATTGTTGAGTTCCAAGCCCTCGGGAGCGCCTCGCACGCTGTCACCCCGACTTCTTGCTCGTCGTTGCGACGATCTGTGCTTCTTGGACATTGCGACTCCCATTTCATTTCCGTTCTTTAGTCAGTACTTACTTTTCCTCGCTTCCTTCCTCGGACTTTAGAGTAAGTATATATACCTCGTATTTTGTACCCGCCCCACCTCAGCTTGTTGCTCTATACCGACAGAGAAAGGCTGAGGTGAGTTATTCCGTATTCCTTGTATTTATCGCCTTACTTACATCTCGTAGCGTAGCGCGTATTCTTACAGGTAATATCATAAGCTT